TCATGATCCAGAAGGCCGGCAGGGATGCCTCCAAGCCCGGGTCCTGGCGTCCGATCGCGCTCCTCTCGTGCCTGGGCAAGGGACTCGAGAGACTGATAGCCAGAAGGATGGCGTCCCTGGCGATTGTCGAGCGCATCGTCAGTCCGCAACAGATCGGAGCCCTACAGGGCAGGTCAGCCGTCGATCTGACGACCTGCCTCGCCCACGATATCGAAACGGCCCTCCTAAAAGGGCTCACGGCGACACTTCTGACTATGGACGTAAAAGGGGCGTTCGACTCCGTCCTTCGGAACCGGCTCGTCATTAGACTGCGTCAGCAGGGATGGCCACACGGCTTGGTTAGACTCATCTTCAGCTTCTGCTGCATCCGCATCGCCAGAGTCCGACTGGAAGAAAGCACAACGGAATACTTTCCTCTGTCATGCGGGCTGCCGCAGGGGTCGCCTCTGTCTCCCATCGTCTTTCTGCTCTACATCGCGGAAATACTTGAAGACGACCCGAACGCGCGATTCGGGTACGCGGACGACATCGCCACTCTGGCCATCAGCCCCTCCCTGGAGAGCAACGTCGCAATACTCAACCGAAGCGCAGCCGGCATTCTCAGATGGGGCTTGGAGAACAAGGTCTCCTTTGACCCGAGCAAGTGCGAGGTCATCCACTTTACTAGGAAGCACGGCCAGCCAGCGGAGCTGCCAGAGGTCCGGGCGGGGGATTTGGTGGTCAAGGCCTCGACGAAACCTGTACGCTGGCTGGGTGTCTGGTTCGACAAGAGACTGTCCTTCCGGCACCATGTCGACGCAAAAGTAGCTGCAGCAAAGAGGGCAGCTCAACATCTGAGACAGCTTACGAACACAAAGAGGGGACTCCCAGCGGCCGCCGTGCGAAAAGCCGTCGTCTCCTGCGTACTGCCGATCGCGCTCTTCGGCGCCGAAACATGGTACGCAGGTATCACGAAGCCGGCTTCGAGACGCCAAGCGGAGACAGACACGAATCCGCCTCTCCAAGGAAGACCCGTCAACACAGGCCAAAAGGGGCTCGTGCAGAAGATCGACAGCGTCATTACAGCGGCAGCAAGGGCCGTTCTGCCTGTCTGGAGGACAACGCCAACCAGTAGCCTCCTCCGAGACGCCGGCTTACCGTCAGCCAAAGTCGCCTTAGAGGGCGTCCGCTTACGGGCCGCAGTCCGACTACAGAGGATTGATCGCCGACACCCGCTAGTCGCGCGGCTCTCCCAGCAGGGACAGCAACAGACGAGACTACAACGGACGGCTGAACTTCTGCCAAGATGCGGAAGACCAGCGTTCCTTCAATCACAGTACCTGCCAAGCTCACAGGATCAGATAGTAGTTCAATGCAAAGAAGAGGCTGCGAAAGCTTTCGAGCGCTGGCTAAAGACAGTACCGGAAAGCCATATGATCGTCTTCTCGGACGGCTCCAGGGCGACGAACGGAGCCGTGGGGTACGGCTTCGTCATCTACCGAGACTCCAAACGCATAGCACAAGGGTGCGGCCGACTCGGACTAGCAGAAGTGTTCGACGCCGAGGTCGAAGGGGCGCGAACCGGCCTCAGAAGGGCTCTGCTCACCAATCGCGGTCATCCAATCCACATATGTATCGACAACACCAGCGTTATACAAGGCATCCGCGGCAAGGCGCCGGACTCGTCACAAGACGCGTTCCTCGAAATCCAAGAAGCGGCCAGGATATTTGATATACGGACGCACTGGTCCCCGGGACACCAGGGCATCGAAGGAAACGAGGCCGCGGACCGGCTGGCCAAAGAAGGAACGACACTGCCGGCGCGGATGGGTCAAATGGCAACACTAGCGGGCATCAAGCGGCTTGCAAGGGAAAAATTACAAAGCCAGCACAGGAGATGGTGGTATAAAGAGCGAAGGCCGCGGTACGCGGACTTGGGGCTTGAGGCAGCTCTGTCCAGCCCTCCTGAACTGGCCTTGCCGCGGGCTACGTTACATCACCTGCTGGCGGCACGATCGGGTCACGGGGACTTCGAGCAATATCACCGACGTTTCAACCACGACGACGCTCTAATGATGTGCTCTTGTGGAGAGGCGAAAGACGTGGACCACCTGGTCTACTGTCGACTAACGCTGGCGAGGAGGCAACGGTGGCCGACCCTCCACTCTCGCAGTATGCCCGAGCCCATAGGCCCTATGGGATCTCTCGAGGCCTACTTCAAGAGATTAATCACCGACCCACGAGGCTTCGAGGCCTTTCTCCGCGTGACGGACTTCTTCCAGAAGATCTGTCTGCGGTAGCAGCATCCACACCTACGTAGATGTGAGTGCGGACTACAAAGAACCTCCCGATTCCAAGGGACGATTTGGGAAAGAATGAAACTGGGGCACCAGCGGGAACCGGGGACAGACAGAACGCGTAGTGGCCACAAGGCATGATTTGGAGGACGATGTAAAGAGACGACGTACTGTAGAGTAGGTAGCCTTGGCTCACGGCCCTCCACGCCATATACCCTTCGGGAGGTCTGCGGTAAGGGCTCTAGCCCGGCCGCCACGGCGTTAAATACAACAACAACAACAACAACAGAGGTATGAGCAAGGCTAGCAAGGGTATCCTTATACAAGGGGATCGTACACTCATTATATAGATATAGAATTCCTTTCCATAGCCATTCATTCGATATACTAATCAATACACACAAAATGACCCCTGCCTGTCTAACTGCTGCTCGATACTCGGTATTGGGCCGCGCGCAGGCAGGGATCAATGCGGATGTACGATGAGTATAGAAAGGACTATCCCGTTAGTCCCCACATGGCCCCGAGATTTTTTGCTTCCGAGGAGCCGGAAATAAATTCACCGAGGCAAATAGATTATCTAAAACAACGTTATATACAGCAAGCGATTGATTGATTGATTGATTGTATCCTACTCGGTTTCAGCCGCCTTTGCCGGCAGCTATGCCCGGGATGCAAGGTTTGGCCAACAGCCGACGCGCCTACGACAAGTCGCGACGCCCCACTTCGCCCTGCTGTTGAATCAAGGCCAGCCAGCTATCTCCAAATTCCTCGCTGCACTGTCTATCCTCTGTGATGATTCTCTCTGTTGAAGAGTCTCTTCCTGCTTCCATTTTGTTTCAACTGTTTTTTCTTTTTCCCTGCCTCTGGATTCCTTCTTTCGCGTCTTCCTGCTTCGGCTCTGTTGGTGGCTACCACCATCTTTGGTTCTGCATACCTACAGTCTCCCCTCAGCGACCAGCTTCGCTTGTTTCTCTTGTCCGCATCCTCTCAAACTCGCATGTACCGTATCTCAGTTGAACTGTAAATATTCTTGCTGCTTCCTGCCAGGTTCTCATACTCGACCAAATCATTCCTCTTTCGCCGACATGCCCCAACCTCACTTCAAAGAAACACATGACGTGCAGTCCTATGCGAAGTTCTATCAAGAAAATGAGCGCAGACATACAGAGCGCGAAGAAAAGAAACGTTAACACAAGCGCGAGGAGCGGCGAAAGCGACAGCAAACATCAACACTGCAATCAACGGCGCTGGCAACGTCACTCGAGCGAGATATCGGGCCTTCAATTGTGACAGATAATCAGGCCTCAAGCCATAAGTCGAGTACGCTCGCATCATATCCATCGAGGCATTGACTTACAATAAGCAAATGGTCCTCCCGACTTTCCTCTTAGTATCGACGAACCGGATCCCAATCATATTGGGGCTCCCGCGACAGCCGAGTCATACGACGGCCATGCTTTGGGCGGCGATCTCGCACATACAACGCGGCCATTTGCCTCGATCCCCGAGATCGATGGTTATACAGCGGAAATCGCCAAATACACCACACCTGATGGAACCAAGTCTTGGAAAATCTGGCCACCTTGTGCCTATGTACTTCCTCGTCCTCCCACAGGACACACCTCACAGGAAGTGGCAATTGCCTCTTCACAAAACAAGCAGCCCCTGGCTCCCGGTCCTGTTAGACCTTCAACCGGGCAACTACGCCTGGCAGGTTGTGTTTCAAATGACGTGAACGAATGTGAGTGATCAAATACAATACGCAAGACGATAGATATCCTAAACTGACAGGGATCCTCACAGGCATTACCCAAGACAAGAAGAGGAGCGAGAACGGCGACACTTTGAAAGCAGTGAAGACTAGGTTTTCCTGAAGGATGGTCGGAATGAGACGAACGCGGTGAAGTTACCTCGGGTATAGTTTGCGATCGCCCCCGCCGTGGACGACAACTCATGGGGCTAGAGGCGTGAGACCGTGGCTTTGATCTTGACGAGCGCCGGATATGTCTTTCGCACTGGGCTGGAACGCCCCTCCTGTCTGGCTTCTCTGCCAAGACTCGAGAAGGTAGTGCGCGCAAGGTCCTCACTGGAAGAGCCTCTGTTCCAGTCGTCTTGTTGGGATTTCGTGATCTTTTTCGTTTACAAAGGCAAAGATCGTCGCTCTTATGTCCATCTACGCTTGTCTCGTGACCTCGTTTTCTCCGACTGGTGATGGCGTCACCACCTTGCCGTGAGACGGAGGGGTGATCTGAGAATGGAGTAGGAAGCGCAAAAATGTCTGGTTGACACTCTTCTGCAATGTCCAGTGAAGCGGCGACATCATCGACGGAGAATTTGGAAACAGGACTTGGTGCGTATAGTGGGCTCTTCGCGGGGTCGGGCGCCGCCGAGTTGCTTGTTGAGAAGTTCCTCTGCCATTGTCGATCCGTAAGTTGAGATCCCCGAACCGCTCCGTCCGGAGAAAACCTCTCGTGATCGGTGTCGTCATCATCAGAGCTCCCGTGGTCGTCGGTGGCTGAGCCGTCATCCTCAGAAAATGGACGAGTTTGCCTCCTTCCTGCTTGATGTAGTTCTTAACGATGACGGAGCTCGAGTTCCTCTCCTCGTTGAACATATGAGTTTCCCTGCCTAGCCCCTGTCTTATGCGAGGTTTGGAAATCATCAAAGATTGTTGAGATTTTGACGCGGAGGATCTTATATCATTATCGAGAATTTAGGAGCGGAAAAACGAACAAAAGAACCTCGTCGAGTAAGCAGTAGGGTTATTGGCACAATCGCACGATTTTGGTTTCATTGCAGCCAATTTACGAAGGAACTATCACACTATGTCTCAGAGTTCTACCCTCTTGAAACACGACTTATCTGTCGGCCGCACTAAGAGTGACACAAACCTCGAGACTCGTTTTACTGGTCTTCCTTTTCCCCTTGAAGCCGAAGCAGGCCCTGAAGCAATTCGTCGTTTTCCCACTTGCGCAGGGCTTGGCTCTTCCACTTCTCCCACCCTTCCCACGTTTCGTCTTCAAAGTTGAAGGCCGTTTTGAGTCCTACAAAGAGATCTAAAAGGGATTGTCGATTCGAAGGACTTTCTGGACCTAGAGCGAAGAAGAATCTCTGAACCTTTCTGCCAAGGAGGACATAGTTCGAAAGATCTTCACGACTCCTCTCCTGAAAGATTTCTGCTAGCCGCTTTTCATCTGGGGCTAACTCATTGGAACCCTTATAGAACTTCCCCAGCGGCCACATCATACAAGGCGAGCTGAAAGCCTCCACCTTCGAAGCAGTCCGGGTCCACTCCCAGTCTATAATTCCAACGATGTCGTAAGATTCATTAACAAGAATGTGGTCGCCCTTGTCATCCGGATGCTTCAGGAAAAATCGCCCTCCTGTCGACTCATCCCCCCAAAGATTGTCGGCAATATCTAGGCGGAAACGATGCGTGAGGTAGGTGTCTACCGATTGGTAGGCACTGATCTCGCCGCTGGCTATCATCGTCAGGTATGACTTGATCATGTTGACTGACCCTTCTAGCGAAGAAGTGAAAGGGCCAAGCGGCCCTTCAGGCCCAATCATGTATGTTGCGTGTTGTGCGAGGCCTTGCACCTCAAACTTGGTGGGGCCTGGAACGGTGAGAAGTGAACCCAAAGCTTCAAAAGGATGTCTTTCAATTTCCAGAAACACGTCCACCAGCTGTTGCATGACTTTCTCTCTCTGTGCCGGATTTGCCGCTTGCCAGGTTAAGGGCATTCCATCAAGCTTCTCCATTAGGATGTAGCTGACTCCAATTCGGTTTTCCGGATCGGACTCACAAGCCCAGTCGAAGATTCTGGGGACCGGGATGCTGGTGTGGTCATTGAGATAGGCTAGAGTACCCGCTTCGGAGCGAAAAATGAAATCACGGACTTCTTCTGGTGGCGAGGTGGTCCTGGTGAGACGAAGACGTGCCAGCCAACTAACTCCATCTTCAAAGATAACCTCGGCGTGACAGTTTTGGTGTCCCATCATAGAAGACAGGTGTTTGCGGGACAGATTAACGGTACATCGAATGCCGTCCCTTAGTTCTGATGCCCTCGAACACAACATCAAAGGAAGGAGCGTGTGCTATTCGATACACTGCACACTACATCGTGAAGGCCGTACGCTCGAATACTAATACCAGAGGCGGGCTCGTCTAAAGGAAAACGCCAGGAGATACGTCGGGGACCTACGGGGTGATGGCCTGCACACTCGGCGCGCGACCCACACTCCGGTGAGCATGACGTCCCAGGACTTTCCTGGCGCGGCGGGGTTAGACGGCCCCACGCCGGTGGTGCGGAAGCCGGGCCAGCGCCGCGGCCGGAACCTGGTCCCTGCGTCTGGGTGGAGGAGGCGTTACGCGAGGGCAATTGGGGTGTGTGCTACATGCCGTCTGTTCTCCTTCGTTCGCAGACAGCGCCAGGGTCGGGGCGTACGCTGTTTAGCCCGCAGACGTGGCGGCCGCTGACGTCCCCTGCATCACTGAGCAAGGTGCATGTACACTACGCAGACACCTTCTCCCTCTGCGGCGGAACGCCACCCACGGGATGAACGGATCTGAAACCGTGTGCAGCACCCCAGTGGGAGAGTTGCAGCAAGCGGACGCCCTGGCCTGTCTGCCACGTTCGATAAGGTTAGCGTGTACTCCGTAGTTGCATGGCTACCAGTCGTCTGATGATTGGGCCCACCAACAACGGCTACGCCTGTTTTGACTACAGCGGAGGCGAGTCAACGACGGCACCGACGATGGGTTATTGCGATGCGCAGCGACGACCTCGATGTGCTGTCGTCCTGGCCGTTGGAAGAGGATGCCAGCTTCTACCAGAGGGGGCGCTTCCGTCACACAATCTTGCAGTCACAACCGTGACTCTGCTTGAAGGAGGCGATCAAGACACCTACAGCTGAAGTGGGTTGAGGACCGTGACCAAACGCCCAGCGAGACCGTTCAATGTAGCCGAGTCATTGCGCTACAGGATGTATCTTTGCGAACCGCAGGTACCCGGACGAAGGGCCAACTTCTCAAGCGCAGCTGCCCCGTGGCTCCGAGGCTGCGGCAGTCGACGTGGACATGGTAGACATGCATTCCATTGACCGCTCTGCTTGAGTGCCCACACCGGTCAAAACGGGAAGCAAGTGGCAGATCGTTTTGTTGTTTGCGCCTGGTATCTGAACATGAGTTCGTATTGGCGCATCCACCGACGGGCTGTGGCCGTTAGCAGGGCCCATTGTGATTGGTCGCTATAATACCCACATTTATGGAGGCTGAAGATCTAGTAGGGCGTAGGAACAAAGCCATTATTTGCTCAGGAAGAAAGCCAGACACGCCCCTCCCGCTGGGTGAGGTACCCATGTTCGTGGTTGGCAGGCATCGGGACCGGGAGGACGTGCCTGCACCCCTGCTCTTCGACTGTGAGAGATCCTGTGGGTGCTCTCCTCCCATCCTTGTCGGCGCATGGTGCAGGGGGATGGGCCACACCCAACGCCGTCTCGCCAACAGAGCCTCGTCTGCGTACCTCTTCGAGTCGTGTGAAAGCCATCCCTCGGCCGTGTACCAGCGCGCTGGGGTTCCCATGCGTAGACATGGGCAGCGTGGCTGGGCGTGCCTCGTCTGCATTGGGCAATCAGGTCCGTGTAGGGTGGGTGACTGGAGGTGTTCGAAGAATCATCCCTAGCCATCAAGGGTGAGCATGCCTTGACCGTCGGAAGGTCGACGCCCTTCGGCGTCTGCAGACGCCCACCCTGCGTGAGGTACAAGGTTGGATTCAGGCAGCCAATTTCACCACCGCACGCGCGCGGACGATGTCCCCGGAAGGCGACGAATAGCGAAGTGGCATTTTGTGAAGGCCTCCTAGTTCTCGAGCGATGGGCACAGCGCAGGAGAAACGCTGTGCACGCACCGGCCACGCTGCTCTCTCTGCTGACGATTTGATCGTTCGTTGCCCCCCGGCTTGTACTCATGCCCCAGGCAGCCTCAAAGGTAGTTGATGTGGAATGGCTGGTGACTACTAGGTTTTTGTCACCACATCCAATTCACATTGACCTGGTATACGCGGTAGTTCTTGATCATCGCATCGCTGGCGGCACACCGCTTTCTTCAGCTTTGGTATCTATCTTGGGACTTTACATAAAGAGAATCGTCGTGCCAAAAGGCCTCCCTTGGGACCGTCCTATGAGGAATCCACCATGTCATCAGGCTGAACGGCAGGCTCTCGAAAACGCTTCAGCATCACCCATCGGTCGCATAGGTGTCTGAACGGGGCACCCGATTCTCCCAACAGGAAGGCCTCGACGCTCGGAAAGCGGAAGCGCGCTTTAACGTCATGGCATCCACCAAGGTTCCGTTCATGTCTGGTCTCAATCAACGAGGTTCGTGAGCATCACGTTACAGCCACCTCGCACAAAGCTTACATCTCTAGCTTCGTACGAACGCTGTGGTGGTGAGGTGGCAGAAGACGCGCAGGACCACGTGAATGTGGAGGACAAGCGCAAAAGCTTGATGAAGCTACAGAGCGCCTTTCACGATGGATACAACTGCATCAGTCCTGCTGATCGCAGTGCAGTAGAGGTATTGATGCAAATGACGACCGGTTGCGTCAGGTCACCGACGGTGTTCGGCGTTGACTCTAGTACTCTGAGCTCGCGACCTGCCGGCGAAACAGTGAATCCCTCAAACCATGCGACACCACCAAACTACGACTGCAAGCTTCAGCAGCAGTCGCAAAATCAACTGCCAGAGTTGCCGAGTTCAAACGTTGAGACAAAGAGTCTGGGTGTGAACCGAGTGATGGAGCCGGCAGACGATTCGGAAGTCCCACACAAGACGCCGTCGCCCAGTCTTGGGCGCGTTATTTACGAAGGAGCTGAGAAGTCAGAAATAGTACCAGTCATCTCGGATCCAATCGCCACCGATGACACTGACAGAATCCGGGAAAAGGCTCATATGCGGGACGGACTAATTGGGCCATTCCAAAAGCTACACAGCCAAGTGGCGTGGATTCAACATAAATTCACAGAGCTTGAGCAGGAAAATACTCACTTGGAAAAGGAAAATGCTGACTTACACGAACGTAACGCTCGTTTAAAAAGGAATGCGGATCGTTTAGAAAGGCGGGTGAAATACTTGAAACGCCGCAAAGCTTCACTTAAAAGTGCACTCGCGGTGTTACAAGCAGAGAAGGGGGGGCCGTGCTTCGTTGAACGGGAGAGGTCTTTTGATATCTGCAGTGAATGATAACAGAGGATGGTCTTTGCGGGGCTATGTTGAGGGAGCAATGGTTCCGAGTCTAGGTAGCGAACAAGATCGAGTTTCACGCCAGCCGCAGTATTCCAGGATGAAAGTCGACTCCCAGAACGGGGACTAGCTTGGGGCTACGGCTGATGACCACAGACTCATTAGCGGCTAGCTTGCAAGTTCGATGGTGGGCGAACGGTCCCAAAGGCTTGCATTCTGAATTGGACGATCTACTCACATTCATCTGGTCCCACTATCCAGGCGTATCCACGAAACTTGCCTTTTCTTAAGGGGAGGCTCAGTGACCAGGATGATAGAAGTCACTAGGGTGTAGAGAGAACAGTCAACTTTGACGGCATGGTGGGGTGGCCCTGACCTATTCGTCGGTCGGGCGAGCACTCCACGAAGCACGCCCCTCATATGTCATGTCCTTTGGCTCTGGGAACCCTACACCTTGTCGATGGCCTGCATCAAATACGACGACGAAACACCTAAAAGAGCCCTACTCGGCCCAACACAGAAACAGACCGCTGGAGTTTGGTCTGGCAAGAGGTCCATTTGAGTGGCCCGGGAGGGGGCAGAGCACCGAAGTCAGCTGGTGCTGAAACCGAACATAGCAGTCTCGCTACGTCACTCAGAGTAGCCAAAGACCTGAATCAGTGCCACGAAAGAACTTGGAACCCAGCGGCGAGCGTGACTTGGGATGGCCAGACGTTACACGATTGATAGCCTCGATGGAGGTCGGTAGTATTGGCCTCGCTGTTCACTGACTGAGGGTAAGGTTTGTTTCGTTTGCGCGTGAATGCATGCATGATTTTTGCCCCTCTGAATTGTCGTAACATGCATCTCACCATGTCTTGCTGGCGAAAATAGATCGGGACCACGGCAGACCTTTTGCATTGAGGGACATAACCCCAAGGCGTGAAGCGAATAATGTAAGTCCTCGAAACGCAGCTAACACTTGTCAGATTCTGCCCATGAGCGCGTGACCCAATAATCTCCCTAATACAGGGGAGTGCTGCCCTACACAGCGGGACATCTGAACCGACCCATTATGACTCTGAGTGGATGAGGCTCCGCGGGCCATGGTCTTGCATAGCTACAAGATCGCCAGAGCGCGAAGCATTCGACTCGGTCCATGGTTTTTCACAGAACTCACCCTCTGTCCGGCAATCACAATGCAGAGACTCTCGCACGAGCTCCTTCTCCTTGTTGCCAAGCTCCTCAGTCCTAAGGATCTATGGAATTTCTGTCTTGTTTGTAAGAAATTCGTTTTTCTCATGCACGATGAGTCCTGTGCAAAAACCCTACTCGAGGTTTGAAGATGTCCTTCTCAAGTATCCCCAGCTGACAGTATCTAACCTAAATCAAGAATCACGCCCCGTATTCCACCGAGATGAGAGATGCGCGTCCATATGGAAATTACGCTCGTGCATTGCGCCGACGAGAGAAGACCCTCAATGCCGTCATCATGGCCGAGCCATACGTAACAGCCGTCGTTGCGCACGCGAATGAATACATCTACTGCAACGGCATGCTTTGCTACACGCAGAGAGAAGCCCAAAAACTTTACCTCCTTAATATTCATCACTCGGCGCGGAAGAAGGTCGAAATCAGCGTGGACAAGCTACTTGCTTCCATACTCCACACTACTCCGGCAGAGAAGTATAAGCTCCGACCTATCTACTTCTCCGACGACATTCTGTCCTGCCTATATATCCCGCGTAAGAAGACAGGAATCGAACAACTTCTCGTCATCGATATTGAGAAGCGGAAAAGGTTCCCCCGTAAAGACTCTACTTCCTGCAAGAAGGCGTTTGTCAGAAACAATCAGGAGTATTTGTACTGCGGAACTTATGACAACAACGACGAAGTGTGGATGCTTGAAGTTTTGAGTCTGAGCGAGGGAGCCTGGCTACCTGGATTTCTTATCCTGGATGACATCGCCGGCTTCGACGTTGGGATCTCTCTGGCCTTCGAAATCGTGGACGATCACTTCTATGCTGTATCAACCACACCGAAAGATGAACCTGACGAGACGGGTCACTTGTCTCGTTACCACGGCGTGCGCTATCCCCTTGGTATATGCGGTCCCGAGGACAAGCAGCTGATGTCCATGTTTCGTCGTAACCACCGAGACGGCCCGATGGATGACAGATGGACGACCCTCAGCCTCGAGAAAGACTCCAAAACAGGAGTTCTCGAGGTCGTGGAGTGTCGAAGAGAACATTCTTACAACAGCAACGGGGAATCGAGGACTGCCTCGAGCTCGAGAACTGTCTATCGAACGGCAGTCAAGTTCTCTAGTGACGAGCCTGCTGATGATTCGGTGTCTACAAGAGAAGGCAGTGAGCAAGATTCCATCCACGTATCTGGCTTTCAAGATCAGACACCGCGCTCTCACGGAAGTCCATCGACCTTTCACCGAGGAGACGATAGCTTCACAGAACCACTCATCACCTTTAACAACTGCTTTGTAAGGTCCTACAGCAGCCCCTGCGGAGCTTTCTTGGACTTAATCAACCCTGCGGCCGTAGATGAGAAACCTGCGAACCTTCAGCTGCGGACCATGACTCGTCTGCAGGTGGCAACGCACAAGCAACCAGATTCTCGAGAAACAAACCACATCGAGAACGTGATATCTTACTGGACACTTCGGACTAAAGCACACGGAGAATCAGGAAAACTGGCCGACACTCTCACGCCACGTGGTCAAGACTCTCAGTGGGAAGTTTCCGGAATAGCTGATGACCGATCTCTTATTTACATCTCGGGAAACACTAAAACTGAAAACTTACGCCCTCTGGTGCTCGTCTCTTTTGACCCTTCCATCAGACTGCCTGGGGTTTTCAACTTGCTGGAGACTCCATCGTAGAGCACCAAGAGAGATGAGGTGAAATATCATCCTGATACGCCAGCAACTCAGGGAGGCTTAGCCAATCCTGCCGGGGTCTCCGGCGATTGTGTCGATCAACGACCTTCGCAAGCCTTCGCACCGGAGCTCACTTTGGCTGGTCCGGAAGCACCTATTTGGCTTCGATCCGTCGAAGCCATGTGTCCGAGCGGGCTATGTGTACCCTTAGGTACGATGTAGCGTACGAGACACGAGGTGCTGTAGAGCGTTCCCGCTGGGGCAGTCTAACATGTGGAGAGCTAGAACCGGATAGTGATACAGGACATCTTGAGGAACGACGAGTTGTTGAAAGTTACAGGATTATCAATGGACCTTCTCGAAACTAGTTCAGATGTTCTTTACGCAGTGTTGCATTGAATAACTGAACCAGACATTGGCCAGCTGCGTCAAGATGCTACTGCTTCGTCTTTATGATGAGGCCTCAGCCTGCTGGAAGTCTATAAAAGGTGTACACAATAAGATGAGGATATTCTTGCATCAAATCATGTACCATGATCTTGAGAAGTTGAGATCAGGATTCCTCAGGCTGCACTTGTCTTCTTGCCAGGAATCTTGAAGCAGAACGGTGGTCTGGTTGTCAGAAGTCGCAAGCAGCCTGGCACCACGCAACTGGTCTAAACTGTTGGACGTTCACCGCACCAACACCTACAATCCTACAATATTGATAAGCAGTTGGAAAAGAGTGACCATGGCCATGCAGAAAGACGTCTTCCAGACACTGGGGCTCGTGGAAAAGATACCCGTGACAATACGGGATACCTCGCCTGGGATAATATGTAGACTTAGACGGCTCTATGCAGCTTTTGAAGTTGCTTACTCTAGTCAATTCGTGCTTTTCATTCATAGAAATGTTAGAGATCTCGCACGGCTGTGATTTGATCGACTCTCACTTGGGTTCTTGATCGCCTGAAGCTCGAAATTTCGCCACGTTGCCAGGTTTTTGTTCGAAGTGGGCTGCTTTGATTGACTTGAAAAGTTCGTCAATGGCCGTCCAATCTCGACTCGAACTTTCGATCGGAGTCGACCGTCTTCGCACTCCCGGTAGTGCTCGCAGCAGTTGGCGATTTATCCAGCATATCTTGCCCCGAAATGGCTTCCACCGAGACTTTGAGGGAATAGCGGTGGCTTATTGAAAGAACCCTCGGTATGAATGTGCGGACTTATCCTTGGGCGCTATGATGAATGTGTTAAGTTGTTTCACGTCATCACGGGAAATGAGTATGAGGGGAGAAGTGTGGAATTTCCCAAGTGGTTTGCCATTGCACGAGTTCCCACGCATGTCCGAAAACAAGAACTGGCATTGCCTCAGCCCACAATAACGGTCTTACGGCCTGATACTTAGCCACTTTGCGTTTGCCGCGTCGGAACTCAGGATCGGCATGCCTGAGCCAGCCCGAGATTCTGCTGCCGAGGGACTTTTCTCAGACTTCCGTGGCCTGCGGGTGGATCATCCGAGGTAGTAATGCGAGGCAACATCCATAACCCCATGTGAATGCCTGTCGTGTCCTTGCCTCATGGCCAGCATATTCTTGTTGAGCCTTTATTCGGTCCCTTGACGTCTCCAACCTCTCGGATAGCGATCCTAGAATACCCGCCTAGCGCCCTCGGCTGCCTCATTGTGCAGGTAGGCACCAGTGCGAACCACAGCTCATCCCCTTCCGCCTTCCGGAACAATTCAAGGCGACTCAGAGCCTCTTTTTGGTTGTGTCAAGACAGGGGTTTCCATTGCGCAGCATGCCAGGTTTCAACCTGCATTGTTGCGCCTCTTCACGGCGATCAGCGCAATAGGGTAATTTCGAAAACAAAACAGTCTGCATGATTCACAGATTCGGATGGGGACACGTCACGCAATCATCTGATGGCGGCGCTGCTTACCATCTCGGCGCGCCTTTCCAGTGGATAGTGTAGCCGGCAGCCCGTCGCTTGAACAAGACATAGGCGAACCACCCGAACAGGTTTTGCCCTGCGTGGTGGATCCATGGGACACCACACCAGGGGGTGCACATGCTCCGTTAGGTATTTATGTACTGCATATACTTGGGAGGCTGCCAAAAGCTTCTCGCCCTACGCCCCCCTCCCCCACCCTCGTAGCTCACAAGACGACAGATTAAGGGGGGTCTCAAAGCCGTAATTGGGCTGCCAAGATAGAAGACGCGTCTGGCTTGCTGGCTGAGCACCCAAGCTGGCCTGTCGACCACCTCTACTCCACGATCGCACACTATCGTGGTGACGGTCAAGCATGCGCCCTGCGAGAAATCAAAGTTGGATTGCCCACTATACAGTGCAAGTAGCGAATATCAATGGGAGCCTCCTTGGCTTGGCTCGGTCAGATTTGCGGCCCATCCATTTTGAAGACGATGCGTCCAATTCGAAAGCAGTCTCTGAGAGAGGTTTGCGAGTGACACAGGGAATCTGACGGTGCACACGCGGCGCGTGCAAATTTATGCTGCTTCAAAGTCGGGTCGAGTGTAGGGCGAATACAGCGTTTACGCTCAGCAAAAAACATGCATATGCACATCAACACATGACTTCATCTTTACCGTGTGATTCGGGCGCAGCCACTGACTTCCAATAAACCCTGAATATCATCTTACAAGCACAGGTGCCTACATGGGCGCTCCTATAGGCCAACAACAGACTGGGGTGTCGAGCCCATGTTCACAAGCTCCAGAAGTAAGCCTGGTCATCGTTCAAGTCAGAGTCACAATGATGACGCTGAATCATACACCAAGGGAACCCACATGGCTCGGAGGCCTATATAATCAACACTGGGTCCGTTGTAAGGAGACTCAGCTGAATATGAAGAAGTCACCCACGTACTACACACCTCTGTCTTGTCAGATCATCTTCATACACCCAAACGCGCATGGCCTTAGTACCATTATCTCTCCTATCACCATACTTCGAGCATAGCTGATTTGAGACAGAACTGCTTCTCGCTATGTGCCAACAAATCCAGCCTACCACTAAGCACATTTGCGACCATACGATCGACGAGGAAAGCTACCTCATAGAATTCGAGGATTGCGGCGATTGTGGCGAGGTGAAAGAGGGCCCAACATACCTCGGAGCGACTACAAAGAGAGACCCATGCGATGACTGCAAGGAGAGTGGGGCTTGGGAAGAGGTTGATGGTCGATGGGAGAAAGTGTGAGCTACTCGAGGAAGGTAGCGGAGAACGGGACAAGACACACCGAAAGATCCTCTATTATGGGCTGTCTGAAAGGAGCATATTACCGGTGGTGTTGTTATTATGTTGTTATTGTTGTCATTGCAGTATCTAATGCCATAGTGGCAGAGGCGCAGCTACCCTTGCGGCAAACCTACCGAAGGCTTTGTGGCGAGGAAAGCCGCAGACCTTGAGCTACTGTACATACATCAACTTATCCGAAGGCTACCAATCCAAGCTCGAAGGCCATTAGGTCTCCGAACTGTCAATGAGTGCTGCTGGCCGGTCCGACGTGGTGATGTGTTGATCCCTGAACCGCAATTCCGCTCACACGGCCACTCCATCGACCCAGCACTCGCAAGTCTCCGGCTTGGGCGCCCTTTCAGTAGCCGTCCGTGGTAAAGACCACCATCGCGTACGGCCTTGGCAATCTTTTGACCGCATTGATATTTCTTTCATATAGCCTACTCGACGATGACCGACGTATTTGTATGGTGCAGGGCAGGAGATAATGATGCAGGGCTTTACAAGAACAAAATCTTGTTCTGCTACGTGAGCACTTTCATGCGCGTTGGCATCTTAAGCGTGACGAAGCGCCGCAGCCGTTACTAGAGCCTCGCCTCCGATTGGCTCAAGACCCGTGCCGCCAGCTTGCTTAGTCATTTTCACGGGTACCCGTGGAATTTTACATGCACGGGTACCCGTGAGCCTATTGGGAGCCATCCTAGCATGGCTGCTGACTAAAGCGGCCAATACCGAGTAGGATAAATATCAGCTATCGAGTTACCCAACCTCCTGCCAATCGCTGCCTTCCTTGTCCTTTCACACCGTTGTCCTCACACGAAGTCAATCATGCAACGCGTCTCGAACCCATACCGACAGATCACAAGACGCTTTATATCACTTGGAGCGGTTTCGTGGGTCTATCAAATAGACGACGAGATTGCGCTCAAGTTCCCGCGGCAAAAAAAGCTACGTGAGTTCGTTCACGAAAACAGTATCTACGACAAGTTCGAGAGCCATCATAGCCCATGCCCACACATTATACAAAGCTTTTATCGCATGGAAGTGGCCAATTTCCTTCAATTTCTTCCCCATGGTTCCCTTCACGATCGACTTCAAAGTAACCAGACAAGGGATGGAGACAGGGTCATTTCGGTCGACCGATTTGAAGACAGGCGATTGAGCGAGCGCTGGGCCGCGGAGCTTTGTGCTGCCAATGCCTGGCTAGAGGCTTTGGGAGTAGTCCATGGAGACCTGCGGCCAGCGAACATGCTGCTTGATCAGCAGAATCACTTGAAGTTGGCAGACTTTGATAGTGTTGCCAGCATTGGACAGAAGTCCCTTGGAAGTGCATCACCATGGGCACGGCTTCGACCGGAATCGAAAGCGGGAGGATACGGGCTGTATGGCCCAGAGAGTGAGCAATTCGCTATTGGGTCTATGGTTTATTACATGGTGCGAGGTTTCGAGCCGTACGGGGGCCCTGAACAAAATGATTGGGCGGCTGGCGTCGCTGTTGATCTTTGGAAGAATCAACAATACCCCGATATCCGAGAAGACGATCCGTTGGAAAGGCTGGCTTTGAATTGCTGGAGAGGCTCGTTCGTGTCCATACACTGCTTAAAGGAGGCCGTGATGGACGTACCGGGATCTCAGGATATGGCAGAAGCGGCTAATTGGACGGCAGAATACGGCTTGGAGATGAGACAGAAATGTGAAGCGTTGTTGGGTCAAGTAGCGCAGTCAAGAGCGTGATGGACAAGCACGGCTGTTGATATATTTCTCTATTCTGGACAACTTCGTGTCTCTTTATCCACCCGCATGCCCAGGAGTGTACTCTTCTGCCCAGGCTTCGCTGAGTACAAATACCGTCGGTCCGCAATCTCGTCTGGCGTATGTACTTTGTCTGTGCACGCAAACGCGACTATGCTGTTCAATTTCGCTATATCGCCAGCTGTAAGCATTGTTCCTCACATCAAGGGCAGGAGACCCTGACTGGACATCAGTTCCACAATCTTTACCGCCATCGCCGACGAAACCACCATGCCTCCGTCCGAGGGCGAGTAGGGAATCAGCGCGTCGCTGCTTCTCGGCCACGCGACCTTGGTTGGGAGCCTATAGATAGCGCCGGATGTGGCGCATCCTCTTCCTCACAGCAAGATGTGGACACGCTGAGGCCTTGTTGATTACCAAGACAGTGACTACGTTTCCGCGAAACGTCCGGCCAGGCGACTACCGCTCTGGAAGCCGTGGCGGTAATAGCGTGCACTTCAAGCGAGGTAACAGGCAGTGGCGAGGGAGGGCCTGAACGGTGACATTCTATTATCCGGCCGCTATTCGCCCTCCCCCCCACCCCCACTCCTGGGGCTCGTAGACTGCAGTCTGCCCCAGACTCTTAGTGTTCAACTCTTTATGATATCGTGTTCCAACAGTCTATAGCATTCATGCAGAGCCAATGACAAGTAGAGTTGAAAGCACGTTGTTCTGAATACAAGCATCATCAGACGCCCAGAGAGACGCCGCGACTTCCCAACCCTAGTCCCAACAGACCTTGACATGCGTCTTTATGGAACCGGGGAGAGGCCATGTCCCATTTGACAAGGTTTATCACGTAGCCGGGTAAACTCTTTGTCATATTCCCAGTAGCTGCCTTCGCAAGAGCTCAAGATATATGACGAAAGGCGATATTCCATCTCTTACTCCTACTACAGACTCCATAAGCAGAATTACATGCCACTGCCCCCGGTCCGTCAGTATGGTTTCAATATCATCCGCGGTGACGGCTGTCAATTGCCACATTCCGCGTTCATGAGCGAGAGCCAGACATACTATCCGGGGAGTACAACATCTTCATGAATATCACTGGCGAGAGAGACACCAGCAGTCCCTCTATTGAGGATATGATCAAGCGCAAGTACAAGAAGCGCATCGAGAACGACAAGTTAGCGCAGGCTAGTCCTGCATACGACTTAACGCACGATAAAGGCACTGCCCATCTCCAAGAGGTCGCCAGGCTGCATAAGATCAAAGAGCAGCAGAGAGCCACCGAGTCCCGCCAGAAGGAGCGCCGCAAGCTCTAAGAGAGACGTTGCATCAAGCGCGAAGTCGCCAAGCGGCAGACCTAGAAGAATAACAAAAAGCGCGACCGCAAGCGAGCCAAGAAGACAGAAGCGGCCAAGGCCAAGGTTGATCTTAAGGCCTCTCAGAAGGCAGCTGCGGAAGCAAAGATAGCCGAGGAAGCGAAATGACCGAAGAGGCAGAGATGAAGGAAGGTAAGGAGGCCAAGGAGGCTGAGGATCAAGATGTCCACGCGGAAGTCGCCAAGGACAAGACAACGTTTGACGATACATACACCAAACGGAGCTGCTGCACTAGAGTCTGAGGAGGACTCCGAGCGCAAGGAAGAGGCCAGAATCGAAGGCGAGCAGGAGTCTAAGGGCCCAAGAAAGAAGCCAGAATTGAAGACAAGAAGGAGTCTAAGAAGAGCCAAAGGATGAAGTCAAGGACGCCGCAGATACACCTGCTCCTACCCCGACTCCCGCACCGACAGCGCGGAAATCATCGGACTCAGATGGCAATTCATCCGACTCGCCCATCGAAGACTGGAGAGAGCTGTTTAGTGACGATGAAATGGTCAGAAAGCCACGCTTCACTCCTGCAGGACCGCTTAAAAATCACGACGAGCACTACGAATCTGAAGAAGAGGGGCTTCCTGATCCTTGGGATGCTATTTGCATCGTGGGAATCCGCGCCTACTCCATGGACGAGAATCTTGAGGTCCAAGTCGTAATGGAAGGCAGCGAGGGTGGTATAGGCAAGAAGGGAGAGGCGGATCTCGACAAGGCGAACGAATCGACGCAGATGAAGGCGAAGATATAGTCAGGTCCGATATCAACCAACCCTGCGGCTGAGAAAACAGAAGCGACCCAATGTATCACTGGTGGAAGAGACCACGATGACAGTGATGCAGTGGATGAAACGAACGGGGGCTCCATGTCGGAGAAGTCCGACAAGAACAGCGTCGACTCTACAGACTACTACAAGCTCCAGCCATCAGTGAAGTGAGGTTCGGAGAAGGCATGTTGACATCAGAAGCGAGGCAATGTAGTCGGACGCAGCTTCTGGTCATGCGAAGCTTGGACTTGGCGGTCGTGACAATGCACATACTTGACCAATACAACCCTCACTTTCATTGCATCGCCTATCTCGTCGTCCAGTGATAGGGGTCCCACGAAGACGTAGGTGACATAGCACTCTGATCGGTGCTGCACTACGCTTGTTTAGCGAACAGGGCCATCGCGCCATTTGAACGTGCGCCTTGCGGCGACGTGCAACATGAATCAAAGTGAGCCAGATAGAATAGCGAGAGTGAGACGGGGGCGAAGGAAAACGTCAAGGACCTTTTGCATCGAGGCAAGTGGCCTCGCCCACCCTTGGCGGTGTGTGGGTGCCCTGATCCGAGCGCAACTGTTGTCGCACTCACTCGCAGAGGCAGGGAAATGCGGCGACGGGGCTAGCTACCCTCCATCAGGCCGACGGCAGCACTAGCCAAGAATCGTCGCCCAACGCCTCGATTGGTAATTGGACCGTAAGCATGTCGGATTCAACATGCCTTTGCAAGCACCCTTGTTTCGTACAGCCACTTGACCTGGCCGCACTCCAAGTCCGTTCTCATGGGTGCCGCCCGCTAGGCCGACCCTACGGCTTCGATCTGGCAACACCTAGATGTATGACCGTGAAGTGATGGGGTCGAGCTTCTGCTCAAGGAAGGTCTGCCCTGGCAGGCGAACTAAGTCGAGATACTACTTGCAGTTACCTTCTGGCACACGGAGTACAGCCTAAAACCAACCACGGCCGCATTTGGCACCGCTATCGGGAGGCTTTTGTTTTGGCGATCAATTAACATCCTTCGGGGGGGGGGGGGCCGACTGGAGGTTGCGAGCGGCTCTCTGATGATTAGAATCTCTCTTGCTATTACTTACTCGGATGTTTGTGAATCCGCCAAGTTACACAGCAACATGAGTGAGCGGCCTTCCCATTCGAATCAGCGAGAAAACTGCAGAGGGGCTCGAAAACCCCTCATGTTGATCGGAGTGCAACAAAGTCCCTTCAGTCTAAGCTGCCTATATCGCAGAACTGTGCGAGTCCTATACCTCGCCGGGCTGGCTACGTATCAGATGTGAAGCCAGTAGAGGAAGACGCTGTGTTGCTTGAATGGATGGAGAATGGAAAGCACAAAGAAGTTGCATATCAGGCTTCTGTTCCTTGGCTCAGGGGCGAATACGGCCGCGACCTGGATGTATCGCTGGTTTCGAACATAGCGCACGCCCTCCTTTACGAATGTTCTCATTCCCACTCCGAAGAATTGCTTTTTGGAACATACTGGGATGCTTGTGAATCTAACAAGGGTCGATATGCGTTTTCATTCGGCGATGCAACATTATACGGGAAATGAGGTATCCGGTCGATTTGTTACCTCGAATCAACCCGTTATGGAGCTGTTTTGGAAAGATACAAAGTTCTCCCTCGACTACCCTTTTGCGCCGCTCGCTCCTTCTGCACTTCGCACCAGCAACGATTTCAATCCACCCTCCAAAAATGTCAATTTCAAAGTCCGAGGTCATCCATGGTCAATGCGGTACGGCCAGCCAGAACCATATAGATCGCAGCAAGCATCACCATGATCGCGTAGTAGACTATCTTGTCTCGCAGTCTGAAAGCGGCGACTGCGTTCACTTTCTGAACAGAGACATTCCGCTAAGTCTCCTGAATGACGACATCTATGAAGATGCCTGGCGATATCTTGGAAAGCAATGTGTCAGTACGTTGGCCCAGGGCATTGCTCCTGATGCCATCGTGATTGCGGAGAAAGCAATGCCGCTGCCTGGAGGTTCAAAATGCCACCCGTAGGCTCGAAATATGCGCCTCCTTCTTACTCTCTGCTAACTTGTGGCAGATATACGTGTCAGGGTAGCAACCTGAATAATTCGACGACAAATGGATGCGGATGCTCACAATCAGTGGCGCAGCCTCAAAAAGCCACTTTTGACGAAATCGATCGCGGCTTCCTACGCTTCTCTCGACTAGACTTATCCGATGCTCGAGAGCTCACTGCAGGACCGGCGCTCCTAGTGACTGGCCCTGAGCTGGAGCAAGACAGGGCTTCGTATACACGAAATAATCCGCTGTACTTGGAAACTCGCATGAGATCAGACGGACTTTATGTCTGCCCTTGGAATGGCCGCCCTGACTGCAGTCACCTTGCGACATCATCTTTTGAAGCCTCGCGGTTCGTATATTCTTCCCGATTGGGGCATTCCTGCTAATATGACAGCCTTTCAGTTCATACATCGACGATCACTTGACCGAAGACCAAATACCTAGAGCCTAAGATGACATGCCAAGCGTTGGAAAGCCATGCTGTGCCCGGATTGCCACATATTCGTAAACAAGCTTCTCCTCTTTTGCTCGACCTGTATGTTAGCCAGAAGCGCGATGAATCTTTGATAGCACATGTTCATTTACTCTTCCTCGTCATCGTCGACAGAGTGAATGCAAATAGCTTGCAGCTGATCATCCCGACATTCTCAGTCTCGAACCAAGTGTCATCTTCCAAAATTCATACATCCACTGACACCATACATGGACTGTCGTTATGAACCGCTATTCCAGTGTCAACCGGTATTAGCAAGTCACTGCGTCGCATTTTTCAAGCCCTCCGGTCTTCCTGCTTGTCGTCTTTCCGTAGAACCCTAGCTCAGTTTTCCCGAGAATCCGGCTCTGAGCCCGAAAGTCCGTTGCCGCGAATCCTAGTGTACATTGCAATCCAGTGCCGATCAACCCCAGCTTAGCATTTCCTATCCCTGAATCGGGTCTAGGGGTTTTGTCATGCTTTTTCGCGACCCGTATACTGGCTATCGACAACATCGCATTACCGGCAGATAAATTGGGATATACCAATCCAGCGGTCTGGTCGAACTAGAGGATATTACCCGGGGGGGGGGGGGGGGGGGGGGGCAATGAATGAGGACAGCTTCTCTCCCACAATGACCTCTTTGAGTCCCAGCGAGTGGATGATACCCTTGCCTATGAATTCAGCTCCGTTTACGACCTTGAGACCCGACTACTTGTTCTCGTTGATCACTACTGGCATGCCTTTCACATATGAGAACATCCCAGCCGCACTTAGTTTCCCTTAATTTCCCAGCAGAATGGCTACTTTTCTCTCTGCCGCAGCTGCATCCGCGATTTCCACTTTTGTTTCGATAGATAGGTGGACAACATCCGACCGGTGGCTGCGGTATACGCCAGAGCTGTATGTAGTGCAAGATTCCATCTGCATTGGTTAAGGGGTGTAACGGCCCGCCCATCCCCGTTTGTTTGACTGCCTTTGTCACGAGCACGGAAGGTCCAAGTCGTAGTTGGGGGTGGCGCTCCCCAGCCACATGGAGGGGTGGCGTTGATCACTAGCCAATGAACAATCATCCCCTCGATTGCGAACCTTCAGGATACATCGGCACCGCTATGAGTCAGGCAGGTATCTATTCTACGCGTCTATTATCTAAAGTAATCACGTTATCCAAATATCAGTGAAAGCCAGGCAGGCAATAGCCTGCATCTTGGAATATCTATACTTTGAAACGTCACGGCCGCTCTTGCTTTCTCCACGCCAGGCCTGTCCACTGTGTGTAGGACTCAAACAGGGATCCGAAAGCCCGTCCTCCGAAGGTTCTGGAAAACTCTGTTGGGATCGTATTCCAACGAAATGTTCCTTATGAAGTGGACTGTTTCCTCGCCATAATGCAGCATTGGCGTCTGATCAAGGCCGCTGTAGTTTAGGAACTCCCAGTCTTCTTGAAGTCCCTCCTTATCAGCATACTTGTTGATGACACGCTCTAGTTCGAGTAAGAGAGGCAAGATCAGCTCCTGGTTCTCCGCGGTATCCACCGTGAGTGCTAGGAGCCACATGAGAGCCGGACCGTCTGCAACTACCCTCCCGAGGCCGAGGATGTTGCCACCTCGTTCGTCGCCATGGGCCACCATCGACTTGGTCACGGGCTGGAATTGAGTGAGAAGCTCAAAGTTGGAGGCTGGAGCTGCGAGCTGCATTCTCTTCGTGTATTCGGTCACGGTACGAAGAATAAAGTCCATAATAGGGGCGCCGTGTGAGGTCATGCCGGTCCTCCAATTGGCGCTGTGTCATGGTCAGCCACGTCGCCCCTTTGGTGGATTTCGATACGAGACGTACTAGAGTCCTAGGGGAGTTGGTCCGGTGAACTCAGGAACCATCTCTGCGACAGATCCGACGCGAGCTGTGCTTGAAACGTTGGCAATGCTGGTAAATTCTCGGAAGGCGGGCGCGGAACTTTTCGCGTCACTGTTTGTTAATACTGCGACGAGGCTCAACCCCTGCTGGCCATACAGCAGAGTCACGATGGCCTGGCTGGCCGGGTCTTCTTCCATGGTGTTGACAAAGTTCACGTAAGCGTTGACCACGTCGCCTGTCTTGCTCAGGTCGTAGGTTGTAATCCCGCCCCATATCTGGGTCGAACGGACGACCTCTGTGGAAAGGTTAGCCATCATTGCGCCTCGTTAGGTACGCTCACGTCACGACATCATTTGCCACTTACCGACATCAACCCGTGTGACGAAGCCAAAGTTTCCCGAGCCCCCCTTGAGAGCTCTCCAGAGACCAGCGTTCTCGTGCGCGTTTGCATTGACAATGGTACCATTGGCGAGAACAACCTCGAAGTTGACAACATTGTCGCAAGCGAATCCTCTCCTGTTACTGTGGAAAGAGTACTGTCGAGAGTCAGTCTTCTTCTGTCGGGAAGAAACCGGTCTTTGCTCGGTCCGCGACGGTCTCGGGAGCAGAGGGACAGAGGACACGTACCCCACCGCCCGTGGTAAAACCCCCAACCCCGACGACAGAAGCTCGTCCTCCAACAGCCGTGACACCGAACGGATCCAGAGCGGAGTATACATCGCCCCAGTTCGAGCCTGGGCGGACGGAAGCGATGCCGGTGGTCGGGTCATATTCGGTCGAGTTCATGTAGCCTATCTCATGTGAGCTTTGATGCCAGATGAAGAGGCGATACTCACCAAAATCGACTGTAATGCCATCCTTGAGCCCGTTCGAGCCGCGGAACGCCGAGTGAGCCCCGCTTCTCATTCCAAAGTGACAGCGTCGAGCAGATATGATCTGGATGGTCCTGGCGACGTCTTCAGCAGTCTGAGGCAACACCATGCAGCGAGGTGGCTCAGCCGCATTGGCGGAGTAGTACGACTCCAAGCGATGTTGAAAATCCTCATTGCACGGAGTCAAAACCTTTCCAGAAAGTACGTCGTCCTTCAGGAGAGCGAGACACTTTCAGCCTAGCGTTAGTATGAGATGATGTGGTGTGTGGATTGCCGACATACACATTTGCTTTCAGAGCGTTCAACGGCGACTGATTCGATGGCGGTAGCCGCTAGGATGAATGCGACCGTAAGATAAAAGATTTGCATAGTTACTCAAGAGATGCGGAAGAAAGAGACCGTGATTGATTGTAGAGGTCAGAAGGGACGGGGAAAGAGTCGGGGTTTTTATACTCACGACTTCGCGAATCCGCCCGTATCCAGTCGTAGGCATCTCGCTGAAGTACCCATGATCGCTCACCGCTTCAATACGCAGGAACGGATGGTCATGTTGACGAAACAAGGTCTGGGACAGCCACTGCAGACGCTGATGCTGGGCAGCCGGACCCTCGCTTCCTGATTGTAATACCACGGTTATAGTGTAGAAGAGCGGGGTATTGTTGACGTTGTCAGGCCATTCGGAGAAGACACTAGCAAAACCGGGCAAGCCGAATGGTTACACATATGCAGCGGCCGGCAGGGCTGGGGGGCTCAGCTTCCGTGTAATCTGCCCCATGCCGACCAACCCGTCCTGATAGGGAGTCTGGCTCCGTCTGGCTGCTTCCATGTTGCTAGGGCAAAGAGGAGAGGACCAATGAGACCTTTTCCAGTGTTTATAGCTGTGATCTGGCCGTGTAGTTGGGTCAAGGGCTGTTTGTAACTGATCAGGGAGACAGAGCCCGCTTCTTATGTTCGATGGCTTGAGCTCAAAAAACTTTTATTGTGCCGTCTTATGCTGTCAAATCTACGAAGATTCGTTCATGTTCTTTCCGAGTTTCGGCTCGCTCCAAGCGCTGTCCGCGCCGCTTGAATGACTTCTCGAGACGTTTCCCAATTCTACATCGGCGTCAGCCGTCGGCTCGCGCAGTCGAACTTGACTCGAACTGTCCAGGCGTAACTGTCTTGTCCCCGAGACTCGGTTTGTGAAGCTGGATTGATTCACTATGGAGGAGCTGCGCTTGAGTTTCCTGAAGAATTGGCGCACAGCGGGCACACAAGTGCAGATTAGAAGGAGATTAACTTCGAGGAACCTTTTCGTCCGTTAGTGAGTGTTGCAGATTGTACTTCCGCATAACGTACGAAGTGATATTCGCTGGGGCGGCGTCCCAGGTCAGGTCCTCGCTGCCTTGAATTTGGATGAGAAGATACAGCCGGAGGGTGGAGGTGACAGTGGTTCTGCAATCTACGTCAGTTCTCATTCGAAGCTCTGGTGCATGGCGACGTACAGTAAGCCCAAACCGAATAGTCCTGCGACAAGAAGCTTGACATTGAGTGCCATCTGGAGGTTGAATACGGTGGGAATTGGAAGAATCAGCAACACCACGTCCATGACAATGTTTGAGGCGGCCGTTGCCAGAAAGAGGGCCACAGCATCGAGTGACAGATTCGGAAGGCGCGAGAGGTATAGCAGCAGGGTGATGGCGACCGTGGTCATGATCACAACACCCTGTGTGATCTTGGCGATGGTATTGAACTTTGTACTGGGGAATAGTTGCATATAAAGGCAGAGTATAGACGCCTTCGCACAGCCGATGGACATCATGAAAGCCGGCGCCGCATTGTAACTGAGCTGTGACTGCTTGTCAACCATGGTTGTCTCGTCTGAACAGGCCACGGTACGCACCTCGACGTATATCCGGAATCGATCGTCTGGAATGGATACTCGCGGGAAGCACATTGTACCCATGGATATCGCGACTACGCCAACTTCGTTAGCATTTTCCACCCCCGGGTCTTGGGGTTACTTGCCTATCATCAGAATTTGCATGGCGGACGAAAACACCTGGCGTGCCGAAATGAGTTCTTGGTCTCATGAACGTGAACTCCTATCTCTTACTTACCCAGGAAAATACCACCCACACTGGGTACAGTACGTCAGTCGTGCTCTTTTGCTGTACGTTCTTCGGCTGCGTGATCACTTACTGTCATCTAGCCTGAGACCACTATAACGATACCTGCTGTAAAGCCGCAAAAGAAGAAGGAGAGTGGAAACGCCATAGCCAACACCAAACACAACGTAGTGAAGGTCGACCAGGTTCCCGGTTGCCGCTGGAGCGACGGTGTTCGCAGAGGTAAAGCTGGGCTCAGACATGATGTTCGTGTTGTTGACTCAATGTCAATGGATTCCTCAGATAGTCGACCATTTCCAACGTAGAGAACTCGGGGACCGTCACGTCTTATAAAACCCCGGCAGGAACCGTACTCGGAGGACGGCCGGCCCTACACCCAGTGCGGTGTGATTGAAGTCCTGAGACATCTCCTGACGGGGGGATTAAACTTTACTTTGGTGGCGGCGGCGTTGTTGAAGAATTGACAATACGAGCATTTCCTGTCTCGAGATCCCTACCACGGATCGGCTCCTATAATCTTGCCATGCCCCCAGGTCAATCAGGAACAGACGCGGGTTTTTTGTCAAGAAAGGGGCATCTACTTCTGACAGACTTGCATACTACGAAGATCTGATGGTTCCTCTAGACTATACTCTCTTACCATGGCAGCACTGGCTTTAATGCTCGCCGCGCGATGCCGCCGCTGGAAAGCACAAATCCAAATGAGCACCACTCGAGGTGAGAGAAGAAGCCTCCACGCCCTGTACATTAGTCTCTCGGGACAATGGCCTGGCTCATGCCCTATCTACGTCGGAAACTTATGCGTCCCCGAAACCTCTCGGCGCCTCCAAGAGCATCGGCAGTCACCCATCACCTATCGAAACCCGTCTTCCCCATCGCGTCGAGCACCTCCAGTCTAGTGTATAATAAGGTGATGAAGTCGGCTGGGGCAGATGTGATTGGCCCGCGAACGACATCCTGATCCGGTTAGTGGGCGAAAGTGCGCTGACTCGTCTGCCCCCTCTGATCGAGGCCCGGACGTTGCGGCTTGTACCGTCTGGTGTCTCTGGCGGGAAGGGACTCGGTGGGGCCCTGGGGGTGGCCGCAAGTTCAGCGCAACAAAACGGCGCGGTACCTCTGACTCGAACGACGCCACCGGGTGCTTTTCAGCAGGGGCGTGAGGGGACCGCCCGGTGTCCACAACCCGTTCGAGCAACGACCATCCGTACCCGAGGCACGGACTTTTGGGGTTGGCTAGGGATAGTGCCAGTGGCCCTTGCATAAACCTTGAAAGTAATCAGTCCTCCGGGGTCTCAGACCGGGACCCAGCCCGCAGATAGTAAGCTGCACAGGGCACAATGTCCGACGTGACGATCAGTTACCTTGGCCAACATCACTCAACCAAGACCGTCGACCACTAAGCAGCGACGAGACGGCGCGCCAATGATGACGGATGTCACTTTTCATTCGATCCAGCTCGATAGATAGCATTGCAGGAATTACCCGGCTATTGGTGCGGGGAGTGACCCAGAATGTACCCTTCACACGCAATTTCCAACATACGTCCTTCCCTCTGAGTCTTTGGACCTATCGTTGCCCATCACTAGAGAGGAGCTCACTTTTCATTAAGACGCCAGACTATGCACGAACTGACGCCACCAACATAATTAACCCTTGATTCAATTGATCGCGCAGATCAGAGAGTCTCAATTTGGCACAGATCACATTAAAGCAGGAATGATATCCGCCCCAATCATTGCATCTCGCTAGTTGGTCCCCATATCTGTGCCTTGCCCTCTCGCGGTCCGATCTAGACATCCAGGGCATGCGCCAGCTTCATTACACAACACAGCCAGACAGTCTTCGGGGCTGACAAGCGCAAGCATTTATGCCCTTTGAGTGTATATCGCGTGAGATAACTGCCCATACACGCCGTCGGGGTTCCCGAAGCCATATTGTGTCTGTCACTGCTTTCATTCGACGACGAGGCCATTTCTTTGTCTTCAACATCGTATTGGCCCCGTGAATGGTAGCACTGGTGCTGCTGCTCCGTTGAAAAGGCTTTTTGGAGTTGTATGCTACCAGGCTGACAGAGCCAGGGAAGTGCTCGACTGGTTGGTGAGAAGATATCCTTCCAGCCTCCAAGGCACGTCCTCCCAGCCTTCAAGGCACGTCCTGCTACCCTTCGGTCCTGGCCACGACTCTTACTCACTGCTGTTCTTAAATATGCCCACGATGGAAGAGCACATATCGCGTTGGTCATTGGACAGGTCAACAACGTCGCAAACGGAGAGCATCAAGTTGTTCACCTCCATGAGAGTCTTCTCATGGTATCCTTTCTAGATAATTCTGTGGTGCGTCATGTCAGCCAAATAGACTACAAGTACCTGAATCACTGACCTAGAGATCTCCTCTCTGCGTGAGATCCTTGTAGCACTGATCTAACTTGCAAGCGAATGGCTTTCCGCCGGTATGTGTTGCTTTGTGTTTCTGAAGGTTACCGCGCTGCGCAAACGATATTCTGCACTGCTCGCACTGGAACGGCTTCTCAACAGTATGACGGCACACATAAGTCTGCAACTTTGTCAGTTGAGTGAGGAGCGAGCGGGCGTAGCTGCTTATCTTTAGGTTGCCTGGCTGAAAAACAGTGTGTTCGCCATAAGGCCAGCCGCATCGCTGAGTTATGTCAACATCTTTCAGATCACCACCATCTCATCAACACTGAAGTATGGCTTTCCCCCGGTGTGCGCACGCTTATGGGTGTCAAGGCGAGTTCCCTGATAAAAAGCTTTGTCACAAGCATCGATGTCGCAAATAAATCTCTTGGCCCTGCGGGCGTCCAGAGCTTCCGAGAATACTGAACAGGGTGTTGGAGCGGACGGTCTGTGATCGGTCCCGAACTAAAAGGATTCAACGGGACCGTTTTTATGCCTATGTCAACACTTACATTGGGCGAAGCTCAGTTCTGGCTTGACTTGATCATTTTCCGGAACGCCGTTGATAACTGCATAGGATTCAGATCTCTTCTGTACGGCCTTAGGGCGTCAACAGAGGTGGTGAAATTCGTAAAATCGGCGCCCGACGGTTTGTGGAATGTGATGTCCTTCATGTTGAGCTGATCAGGTGTCTTAAAGTCTCTTTTCTCTGGCTTAGCACTAACAGAGGGATTACGTTGTCGAACATCTTTTCCAGATACGACATCGCAAATATTGAACCTAGGACGACATTTCTCTTGCTCTAGGGTGGCCATGCGCACAACTGGCCAGTATCATTGTGCTGAGACCAAATCCTGATGTGCGTGGACCATATCATTGTACGTCGGGCAACCGTGCTTTGTCACTGGCGTTCGCAACTTGTGCAATGGCGGTGCGCTCGGGTATGAATGTGTTTATGGAACCAGACATGGCTGCACTCTACTGGTACTGCACAGGGGTCGGATGGCTCATCATGGGGTACCTGTCCACAGCAAGCTCTGACTGATAGTATCCCCAGGTCTTAGACTACATCATTTGCCGCGAAAGAGCCACAGGACGACGTCAAAGTGGTGTGATTGATGATATGAGGTTTCCCGCGGCTTGGAGAGGAAATCAAGTGAGTGCATCCAATTCAGCCAACCAGACCGATAGGGCAGCTCGCCATACAAAAAACAACCAGAAAGGATTAAAATTGCCTTTGTTGTTTGAAATCCGAGGTTAGGCATGTCGTTACACCTGAAGTATAACACACACACGAGGGAGGAGATTTTGACAACCTGAATGCCAGGAGAGCAGTTTGGATTTCGAAATCTGGCCGTGCGTTATACATGCATCACGGCGAGACTTGCAAGCGCCAAGGCGCTGTAGGGAGAAAAGATAGCGGTAAAATAGCTGGTACGAGGCAACCCGACATCGCACATGCCATCGACGATACCACAAAACCAAACATCTTTGGTTGACATTATTGCGCAACATTTTTCTGGGTTCATCACGCCTGCGCGCAGTTGGGTGTCATCCTCGACTTAGCAAGGTAGCACAACCATGGAAGGAGCATATGGCTCCAGTAAGGCTAGACCAGTCCTGTTAGCGATTCTCTTAGTGACGAGTTCCTGATCTTTGGCCGTGACATGTCCCGAGGCTCGAGATAGATCATTCTTATTATTTCTTTTATTTGTGGACAATCATGACCGTACGAATTGATCAGCGAGACTGGCAGGATCAGAAGTCGGGAAAACAAAAGAGAGTAGTGATACGCAAGGAACAGGTCAACAAAGGGTCAGGTTGAGAAACTCATTCCAGAGTAGGTGGTGGAAGGGTTGATGAACAGCCCGTCAACTCGAATAAGAACTACTAAGAGACTGATGACGCAAAGCGGAGTACCCGCATCGATAAATGCACATGAACTGTACCGCCATCAGTCAGTTTACGCGACAATGATCATGTGAATTGGGTGGGAGACTCCCATACTCAGGGCAAGATTACTATTCTGGGGGTAGACGCCAATCGTTGATATAGATCTCGTGCAGGCTCACCAATTTGGTGATGACACACACTCATATGATTTGATACGTGCCATACTGTTCGGGTCAGCGTCAATTTTAGTTACGCAAGCTAGTTACAGGACCAATTGGACATAAGTGCGGCAACATAGTTATTCCGAGAGAGCGAAGCGGGTCGAATTACATGTACTTGGCTGACTAAATCCTTCAGGTCTTGCGGCCCCCGCTTCGAGGAAACTCGTTACTACTCGATTTTTGCCCCACGTCAGGCAAGGCACGTGAATGATGAAGTGCGACTTCTAACGTAATGGCCCAACTCAAAGCGGCCGAATAAGCAACAATTCATCGACATTGCGGGACGAATTCATCACCTTCAGCGACGCAGGACGAGAATCAATGCAGTATTGCTGGCCTGCAAGCGGCCGAAGAAGCGACACCGAAATTGTTGGTATGTGAGCAGCTGCATGTTGTTACATCACAACCACTGACCTTGGCGTCCTGACAGCAAGACCGCTGGAACGTTGTCGACTTCGCCAGACTGTGTAGGGCAAGTTACGACACGGGACTCTTTAGCTTCTGCACTTTGTCACATGCTGTCCCGAAGCCACATCACACCTGCATCGTAAATAGGATACTTTATGACCTGATGAGCTCAGCATAGTTTCACAGGCAAGGAAGGAGGAGACCGGCCCAATCGCTAGCTTTCTTCTAAGTATTAGCCAGCTTCTCATGCCTTTGATTGACCAGGTGCTTTTTTCTCCATCCACGATTCTGGAAGTGGCTGGGTAGTGTGGCTGAGATGCACTTTTGAGAAGCACGTGCATATTTGCCTGAGGGGTCAGTGGACCCCGACTGGACACTTGGGCATCAAGATTCGTAAACAGTGTGAGAGCCAACTTCGCCATGTCATCCTCGCAACTTCTCGGCTTCAACGTTCACAGCCATGGAAGCCACCGAGATACACCAGCGGAATTATCATTCATTCTGAGTAAGAACTTCTGTCATTACTTATTGCTTTACTAACTAACCGTCAGCGTGTTCGATTTTCTAGCCGCACGACCTCTACTAGACGATTTGGACTATCACGTTTCAGAGTCACCAAGTTTTCGCACACACAATGTCCGGGGTCGACGGAAGCAAAGCCTTGGAAGGGGAAAATGAATATTTACCAGCACACCATGAGTTCACGGTCGACGATCAGAAAAAGGTCATTGCAGAAGGGATGATGATCATGATCTTCAAAGAGGACGAAAGCAAGGCTTTTTGGTACGGGAAGAATACGGGTCCCGACGGAATCTCTGTTTTGAAAGGTTACAGAGTCAGAACCTACAACGCGAGTGTGCAATTCCAGCGTTGACAACTATCTTTCCATCTCTGAAGATCGAAATTCTAAATACTGCACGATATCCCACCCTGCCTTGTAGCCTACTGTCAGAACAAAGGAGATGTCTGCTTGATCGTTGTCGGGAATCATGGCACAAATAGCACCCGTCCGCATTTCATCCGAGGATAGAGATTCCGCGTCCTTTTGCCTCTCCCAACACCATTGACGGCCGGTGTGTATGCCTTGCAGGAAAGGAGAAGTGCAAGGCAGAACACCTTCAAGCTTGTCGCCCCGCGCCGCCACAAATTGGAAAACTGCTCCCCCTACCACAAGGTCAATACTTTGCCTTATAATGTTACATATCTGCCGTGGACTCACTGTCAGGGTTCAAGTTCGGAGCGGTGTCCTCGCGTGTAATTACCGGGCATACCAAACTCTCCGGTTTAAGAACCAACGGATCCGAATGACTGATTGCATTCGCAAACCGTCGCTTCTTGTTGCTTGGTTCCGGCGGTAATAGATCTAGTATCATCAGAAACCTACCGTAAAGATATACAGGTTATGTGAACTTACCTGCCACCATTTGAGTGATACCTGAGGTATTTTGGCGACAAATTTCTCGAAGGACATCGATAAACATCTCCCTTGTTTCTCGAAAAATCGAACACTCCCCTATAGCGCGGGGAAATAACTCGACGAAGACGTCAAATAGGCTTTGTTCCTTGATATTTGTGACACACGTCTCTGTCAAGGAAAACAAAGCCAAAAGAAGCCAGTCAATAGGCCTTTCTGGGCGAGAGGAGCAAAGTTCGACAAGAGGCGACAAAATCCGGCTCACATCGCCGCCTTGCACGAGCTCTTTGGCATTAGTCTCGAAGTAATCGCGTCGCCTTCTTTGAGCATTACGCTTAGTAAGAGTACTTAAAAGTGTTTTGTTTCGCTCTATGCTCCCTCGAAGAGTAGCAAAAGCCGTGGCGGCTTGAAGCCTCTGCTGATGTGTACTGAGGGTGTCATTCAGGCCGAATATTGCTGTATCCTCAGCCACAGAAACCCCCGCTCGTTGAGCCTGTGAGGATCGCGACGACTTAGCCATGAGTAGGACGACGACGCGGGCGGTAGGAACCGTAACGAGCACGGCGCTGAGGATCGCGGTGAGGGAGGCGTGGAGGGTGGCCCTGAGGACGGCAACGAGGAGGACAACGAGGAGGACAACGAGGAGGACAACGAGGAGGACAACGAGGAGGACAACGAAGACGGGGGTGGCATTCAGTTTCATGCTATTTGCGGCATTTAATGCAACAGACAGTAGGGTAGGGGAGGGACTTCGTTAGCGTGACCCTGAGTGCGGGGCACCAAGCACAAGAATGACGAAGGCAGCGAGGACGGCGGCGAGGGCGGCAGCGAGGGCGGCGGCGAGGGCGGCAGCAAGGGCGGCAGCGAGTGGCTAGAGGCTGATCTCGGTTTTCTAGTCCCGATTAGGTGTAGCTATTGTTCAATACCTTTTGCTGCTTGATTCAACTTCAAGCAGGCATCATTTGTTCATTCCCATAGTTTGGGTCTACCATTGAAGTCGGTAAGATCACGGGTGCGAGCGAGTAAAGACATCAGCTCGGGGATCAACTCATGTAAGGTGAGCCGTCATTCTAGGATTTCACGGCATTGTGTCTTGGTCTCTCATATAGCACCATCTCAAACGCCAAGCAAGAATTCCATCTCGAATCGATTCCCACAGAACAACAGGTGTTCGAATTTGAGCCCTTGCATTCACAAATTCTCTGTAGCTGTTCCGAGGCTACGTGCTGAGGAACGAATATCTCGATAATTGACCTAGTGCAGTATGTACCAAGCTTCTACCGGAGGACCCAGCATTTTCAATGCATTCCGATGGAACGTCGAATAATAATAATTATTTGGATATATTCATCCCTAGGCCGGAAAGAGCAATAAATAGCTGGATATGGAGGTGCCGGTCTGAATACATGAAACCCAGATAGTGTTGCAAACTTCGGAATCAGCGCCAACATCTTAGTGAGCACTGGCAGTCTGGCCGCATGTCAGGCCAGCCGATAATGAGAACTGCAAACCGTAAACAGAACCCATATTCGAGGGTGTATGCATGCTACCGACTTCAATGGATCCGGGCTTCCCCTCCCCCGTCTATCAGCTACTACGCTTTAAAGCCCGCGAAGGGAGAAAAGGTTGAGCCGATGCCCAGTTGGGACGTCAACCGGGCTGCACCGGTTATCACCAGCATGCTGTCGACGGACTTTGAAGCAATAGCAGGTATGTGGCCGCAGGATGGGTCTGCCTATGAGATCACTGGGAAATAACAAGGAGGGTGAATGATTCTCGCTGTGTTCGAGTAGTATTTGACAGACATCTGCATTGAAATGCTTACTATAAAATGCACTTGGAATTCTTGTCACTGCTAATATTCTCACACAATGCGTCCTACTTCATCCGTTATCTTGTATAGCCCATCTCGGAACACACAGTTTTTAATTCATTCCAAGATCGAAGGGCAACCAAAGAAGGTATGTCCAAAGATGAAGAATGCCCACGAGACTTTCTAAATCTTTACTCCACCAGCCTCGCTCTATCAAACTCGCAATGCTAAACAGCCGAAATCCTCCCCCACCACCGCCTCCTTCTCCCCCTCCGCCCGCTGCTCCACAGGAAACCACATCCATGACCGAAATTGGCAGCGTGAGGGAGGTAGTTCGACTCTGATCATGTCGATTTCAGGTTTCGAAGATCAGTGAGTTTCGTCAAGCTCGACCGAGTTCGGCTCGTTCTATTGCTGAGTCAACAATTCTTGTTAGAGCTTAGGTTTTAGCAGATATTGCTCTGCGTTAAGAGGACAGCAATTCCTTTTCCGAAGGGGATGTTTAACAAACCAAATTGTGTATGGTTCGTGGTATGGTGGAAGAAATTGAGCCTAGTGTTTTCTTGGTTTAGAGAACGACACGTCCTGTGAGGTGCGTTCCTCGTTGTGGGACGTAAGCTTTGTCAGAGTTAATAGGCAATTGGTAGCCTTTGAATCATGCTTGTCTCAATGATGATGGTTTGGGTACAAATATGATGCTCGACGCAATAGCATCGTGGTGTGTCGTCTTTCACCAGTTGCTCTTGTGTTTTTCTTCTTGCAGACCTTTTCTCTGACCATACTTAATGTCCTTGCCCCAGTGTATTCAGTTGAGATGATGAAACCTGATTTGGAGCAACTCTTTTAACATGAAGGGAGGTTGGACGAGGTTTTGATCGGTGATCCATTCTAGAAATCCGCTGTGGGTTTGGGTAATTGATCCTACACCGTCATCAACTACTCTTGTATCAGCAGCTGTCTGGGAAGCATGGTTTAGCGAGCAGTCGATGCGTCACGGTAAACTGCCACGCCTCGCCTCGCCCTTCGCTGAAGTCAGGGTCAACTATTCCCGAAGCTCCTCGCTGCGCTGTATATCCAGTCCTCTGTGCCATCTGTTGAAGAGTAGGTATCATCCTGCTGCATTTTCCCCTCTCCATTGCAATGCCTTCCGGATCCATCTTTCACGAACTTCTGCTCCGGCCGCCGCCAGTGCTTGCCACCAAGGCTGGCTGTGCATGCCTACAGCCTCCAGTCGGTGCCCCGCTTCGTCTGTTCAAGATGTCTGCATCCTCTCGGCTCGGGCGAAGTATTTCTTCCATGAATCAGCAGGACATCGTTGACTCCTGCCCAATTCCTCTATGGATGTTCGTCTCCCTGTTTTGACCACCACGGCCGTCCACCATATTGCTCTGATCATCGTCCATGCACAGCATGCCTACTGACTGATGCTCTCTTGTGTAGAAGGCCGTACCGTTCTGCCAGGCTCGCGGCCATCGTCGTCATTATCGCCATCGTCGTTGTCATGGAATGTCGCCAACTGGTCGGCTATAGTTGACGACCCAGAGCCTATCGGGGGCTGGCAGGGTGGTCTCTGTTTTGACGCAGGTATGGTGTTTTGTGCAACGATTCGTTGCTGCCCACGATAGTGGTTGTCTCTCGACACGCCTGACTTGGGGACTTGCTCTCGAAGTTTGCGTTTACAAACTCGCTCGAATATGAACGGCGAGGATGATGTTTCGCCGATGGATCGCCTTCACGAACATGGGTTGGCGTATTCTCAGTTGATCTGATGCTGTTTTCCAAATTTGTCCAGGCTACTTCCCCAGGAAGAATGTTGGGTAAGCAGCAAGAGCTTACATAATCAGCCATCTGCCTTCACCTGGTCACATTAACCCCGCAGCTGAGCCGCACAAAATCAGCCGAGTCTGAATCTGAACATTATTGAAGCAGGCCATAACCCTATCATCAAGATGCCCTCAAGTACGTAGCTTGCAAAGCACAGACGACAGAAGCTTCGATGTCCGCGTTCGCTCCTTCTCTCAGCTATGTATCGCATGCAACGTCTGGCGTGTACCATCGCTTCGAACTCGGTGAAGACAGACTGCAACTCGCAATAGATGCCGGGAAAGATCTCACTGGCATAGTTCTAGTGCCTCCCCAGGGAACCGGGACCTGGTATTCAAATATCGGAAGACTGTTCAAGTTTGCGTGGCGAGCAATACATTCTGAATTATGGGATTATGCATCCGACAACGAGGTAGTGAAGTATGTTGAGAAAAGTCCTGGTAAATGCGCCAAGCTGACATCCAAGAGACGTAAAATTAGAGGCAACGAGCCTGTCGACCTCGACGTGACTAAAGGCGTCGCCCTGCTTGAGCCTGGACGCCAGGTCGTCGAGAGCTCGAAAGCCTTGATCATCCCCATAGGCGAACGGCATGCTACCAAAGTGAGCATGTCAGCAAAGGGCAATGTCTACCCAGACCTGGAATGGGACACTGGCGTATATTACTTGCTAGAACCAGAGGTTTCTTTGACGCCGGTCGAAAAGCCAATCTTATTCATCAGTGTAGTACTTAGGCTTTGCTAATATTGTATGCGCTGTCTTATGTCCCCCAAAGATGCCATATTCGTTGTACACATCATTGAGGCAACTTCAATTTCCTGGCTGTTTCCTCCTAGTTTCCCATGCAAGAAACGTGTCTCAGGCTCCGCAAATGCCACTGTGCGGTTCATCATGGCCCTTTCGTTCACGCCAGACAGTGCGCTGCCGGTGCCGAATCCTGGACCCTGGAGTTGCGGATGAAGCCGGCTTAGGTCCGTCATGGTCGTGTTTGGAATTATGGCATGTGGATGATAGCTATCTCGAGAATCAAGATTCTCGGCGTGTCCCCAAGGAACTTCTGCAACAAACTGCCGGTGAACATTCATCCTGAGGTGGGAGGAATCGTGAGCAGGTCTGCCAAACATCGACAACGATGCTTGAGGCTGGTACTGTTCATACCCAGCCATGTGAGGACTCGCGGTGATCTGTTCCGCCAGATGAATCTGCATCCTGTCCGGATCTGTAGGCAAGGAGCCCATCGAGCAGCGCTGGGAACCCGCCAGACAGATATTGTGTGCAGGAAGCGGAGTGCTCGTCACGGCTTGTGTGGCGAAGTCCTGTTGAGGCAAATGACCGATATTGTCTGGAGCCGTCGGGATCGTGTTGGTCGAGGGCCAGAGCTGCACCATGTATGCCGGATGCGATGACATTTCCGCTGTGCTTTCGCTGTATTGGTGAGGAGTGGTGGGGTGGTGAACGTAGGACGATGAAGACTGTTGGGTTGGCGATTGTTCAGATATTTGAGTGTTGTAAAGCATTCTGGCACGCTCATCTGACTGGGCTATCGCGCAAGCAGGTGGCTGTTGATCGACCAAGGCCGACTGCCCGTCAACGGGATCGCTTCGATCTGTGTTCTGGAGCGGAAGGTCTTTGGCCAAGCTGTCGAAGACAACTTGATGTGGCTCATCAGGAAGTAAAGTATTCCATGAATGGTTGTGACGGGCCCCCCATGGGCGGGGACGGCCTGAAGTGCGGTGCAGGCGAATGTTTTCTAGACAGCTATAGCCTTTGATGATGTAGTCCCTCAACGCTTCTTCAAGGGCTGCAAATTCTTCCGCATATTGTTTGACTTCTGCCGCATCAAGCTGTTTGAAAAACTCCCTGTGCTTATCATGTTCTTTTCCTTGAGGGACAATGCGAAAACTGTTCATAGTTAATGAGTTGTCCTTGCCCGTGAGAATGAGGGAGCTGACGTTGCATCTGTAATTATCAGACAGCTCGCCACGATGGTACCGGCGGCATGTCCTTGAAGAATCATGTCCGTAGTCCTCCCGGTGTCCAGCCACCTGTCGTGGTCAATCAAGGATAACTCTGATTTGCAATGACACACGTGAGCCTTGAAGGCGCTTAGCCCGCGGTATCCCCATGTCTTTCGACACCGAAAGAACTCTCCAGCTCGAATCCTGAACGCGATCGTCCCTCGTATGAAGTCCACCGGGCTGTTGCGGTCGTACTTGGTTACACTATCTGGTACAGCTGCGAAGAATTCCTCGGGTGAGTCTTGCCATTTTTTACTTTCTTGTCTCAAGGCAGACAAGGCAGGGGATGCGCTCGATTCGGGGCTACTTTCGAGGAGCGTCGGGTTGTAATTGCCGGAGGGCGGAGTCGACTTCGGCGGAGGGAGCTCTTGGGACCGCGGAAGAGAGACCCACATCGTCCGCGGGTATGGGAGAATGTCTCTTGAACGAGGGCGTCGGAACGGCGACCTGTCAATGGCTAGCAGGCTCAGATTTTGCGGTCAGGCTGGCGCACTACGTCGATGCTGGTCTTGCGCCGCTTGGTTGTTGTCAGGGTGCGGATCGATTGTGTGGAAAAACGAGCTGGCAGGAGACGAAGAGACGCGGGCGCCTGCTTCAGGAGCGAGCTCAGTGGCACCAGCCGACTTGACGCTTACCAAGTTGAGCGACCTCGTCAAAGTTTGCGAGTTTGACAAAACAGGCTAGCTCGGATTCACAGCCCCAATAGGCACCCTGAACCCCTGTTCGGACTCGATGGGCCTCACGCCTCCTGATTCTACCGAACTCGTAAGCTTTTGCGAGTTCGTCTAAAGAAGTAAAGCGTCGCCGTGCGATGTCCATTTGCTGCAGCTCATTCTCCCTCCTTATCCACTCAAATCCACCCCAGCCCACACGCCCTGCATGATAGCTACACGTGGAGTGTGCGCAAAGCTGCAAGCAGACTAGCTTGAACTCTCTGTCTCCGACACCCCCTCCGTTTAGCAGTACGTACCGCACGCCGCGTCATCGAGCCTGGTATGATAATGTACACGCCCTTGCCTCACGCTTACCGCTTTCACTGAACTCGCAACGTTTTGCGAGTTCGGCCAAAAGAGTAAAGCGTCATCGTGGGATGTGCATCTATCTGCTGCAGCTACATCTTCTCCTCACCCACCCCAGCATGTGCCCGACCCACCTAGATCCTATCTACCATTCACGCCAATATAGTGTGCGGATGAAGCCAAGCAGGCTAGCTCCAAATCTTGGCCCTGATTGCACACGTCGAGCTCTGGACCCTGGTATCCTGATATGCACGCCCTTGCCTCACGCTTACCGGTTTCGATGAACTCGCAAAGAATTGCGAGTTCGGCCAAAACAGCAAAGCGTGATGCAACGGCGTGCATCTGCTGACGCTGGATCTCCGCCCTTATCCAGCCAATCTACTTTGTGCACCATGGACTCCAATTGAGACTTGGAAGTCGGCAGCCTTTGGCGGGCCACGGAACTCTCAGCTTGTAGGTACTCTTACCAACGCCCACCACTAGTGTCCCGGCTGCGTGCACCCAGAACCTGCGTCTACTTTTCAGGACCTATGTGAAATTATTCACTTACCAGGGCGGGCGAAAGATCTTCTAGCTGATATCGGTACATCCATGGGCCACAAACTGGAATTGAGCGCCCCAGGCAAGCTCTCGCAGGTGCGATCGGCGAGACTGCTGTACACTACCAACGCGCTGTCTACTCGATTGTCAAAGGCTTTCCCCCCCACATCTATCGCATGGCACAAGTCTGACCCCGCATTTGCAGCTCACAACCCCGGCGATTGGCCAACTCGCTCAGTCATGTCTAGATCACCGTAGGGGGCCATCTGTTGAAGGCCCGCCGAGGACTCGCGCGGAATGGATGTATCACGTGAGTATGTTGAGGGACTCTCGTGCGTATATCTGGGCGCTTCACAGCAATTTGACTAGCCAAAGTTCCCTTCTCAACTGACTCCTACATCTACGCCTAGCACGAGCCGCCCTCACAAGCATCCCGTCTCAGCCTTGACAAGACACTGCAGAAGCAGCGCCAGCCATAGCCACATCGGCTTCCTTGTATCGAAGGTGGGATTGGGTAGTTCTTCCCCGCTCCATGTCTACTCAAATTAACAATTACCCAGAACCGATTGCTACAGCGGAATAGTGCCACTCATTACCATCAACATGTGCGATTGGTGTTACCGAATCTTCGCCTGTGGGCACTGGATGACTGGTGCTGAAGCATGGTGTTACGAATATGGGAGAAACCAGAAGCCGTGCAAAGTGACGGTGGATTCAGAATTCCAGTATCCGACCAAATGCAAGAAGTGCGAGGGAAGCAGGGACGTGGTCGCCTGGGAGCATATGATTGACCGCTCCAAATCTCACATGATAAAGCAACTCGGTTCGATAGTGTTGCAGCAACAGGCCCCAACGTGGTTGACCGTACGATGAACAGCGGGCAGTTCCTGATGGAGAAGATGAGACCCACCCGCTTGAGCTGATCAATCAGCACCGTTCGTGCGCTGCTCACCACACGGCGGACTCATAAGAGCGCACACTCCAAGGCACCGACTACTTAGTGCCCATTTGCGCCCTTCATGTCCTACCACTGCTTGCATTACAGTAAACTCAAGTAGATCGTTCCAACAGCGTCATTATAATGCTATGTCTGATTTTAGTAATTCAGCTTGTGCTATCACTTTTGGGTATGAATCAAGTGGCGTTTGCCATTGGAAAGATGGTCTGGCTGCAAAGCCGCCCTTTTTTCTGTCCGCGGCGTGTCCGTGGAGATACAGTAACGCCTCCAACAGCCAAATTATGTGAGTCGAGTCTACTGACTCTTCATAGGGTTCTAGCCTTTCCCATCAAGCACAGCAATTGCAAGACGGCTGGTTGAATTGCGACAAAGGAACAGCAACTGAAAGTAGCATTCCGATCGTCCAGTACATCATATGACCCCTGACTCCGACTTCACGAGCCCAGCATGGCTAGGCCCGAACGCACCCGTCCATACTACACGGAATACCGAGTTTCGACCAACCTTGTGGTGCCCGTGGTAATGCGCCAGGGCCAAGCTCGGGGGCGGAGTCCCGCGGACGTGAGGTACACTGGAGTGACTTCTCAGAAAGGGGTCAACAGTGGTACGGTTGATCCATCAATGCAAAGGTGATGCACTTTTGGCGCCACTCCCTGTATGGAGTCCACCAGACAGTCATCCTGGGGGCAGGCTTTACGGCCGTTAGACCAACAGGGGAAGATGTCCGCGGCCCTGCCCTTGGCCCGCCGATAGCGTGAACAGCATCCTGGTGTACTTTCCCCTCTGATTCTAGTGTAACTAGGGCCAGGAGCGGCTGTCCAGATCGATGCCGGCTCCGTCGGATCCAGTGTGTGCATGGCTCCAACACCAGCATGCAGGTCAGTTGCGCTGTTGGACTGCCATAGGCAATGGCGGCTTCTATCCTGTAACTCGACGCAGTCGCACAGATCCATCCAGAGTGTATGTCTGTTGCTTGAATAGGCATTTAGGTCTTCTCCTTTTTCTCACCCGGGCGACCCTGCCCGGCGTTCCGTGGGGGTTTGTTATTGCCGACCCATCATCATCCTCTCGAGCCGCGCGGAGCGCTGGCAGGCTTGCTGCGATGTGATATGACCCTGCGCTCTCGCTTACTATAGCGTAGACATCTAATGCGACTTTTTCGGATGTAGACAGCCCAACGGGGTCAGAAACTCGATTAGATGCAGCTCTTGATAGCACCGTCATCTCTTTACATCTAGGCTGTGGCATGTCGAGCTAACGTCACTCAACGAAAGCGATCTATTCTCGTGGTAGGCATGCACGTTGAAATCATTCGGGCGTGATCATCCGTCACTTTGGCCGTTCGATACTTCAGCTCCATACGAGGTAAAGGTCTCGATACACCATAAAGCCAATCATTGGAAATATGAACCTGCGGGCGGTCGAACGTGCCCGTGGGTGATCCCACCCTCGCGCGCAGTATATTACATGTATGCATCACACACTCTCTTCACAGGAGTTTGGAAATGTGCAACTATACCCAGCGCGAATTCTACTGCGGTTACGTCCGGTGGATTGTGTCGCGGTGGTGTCCAGTTTACAAAAGAACCCAACGACGATGCCCGCCTTCCGTTACGCATTTCGAATACCGCGGGGATGAAGTCTGCGGGGAATGCAAACCATCTGCCCCAGTTGTATGGGAGAGTATGATCGAACGGTAACAACAGTTTCTCGTCGCAAGCGTGATTGGGCTAAATAGAATAGCAAAAAAGACCAAATTAACTGAATTTCCCAGGCACAGTTGGCGGCGATGAGGAGGCTTCGTAGACAAGGAGCCGATCTCGTTCTGGAAGGCTTTGTGTGCACTCGGATGCGAAACCACCATCGTCAAAGCCAGTGAAACGCATCATTGTAATCTGAAAACTTTATACATATCATGGCTGTAATGCTGGGGGCTTTAATAATGAGTCCTTTGAAAAAAAATCATTGTGTATCACCTGTGACGTTGGTCTTGCGTCTCAAGCTTCAGAGTAGAGTTGCGATCGGCGGTCGGGAGTTTCTGCTAGATTGTAAATCGTACATCAATACCATCAGATGGCTGTGGAGCAACATTTCAATGTGCCTGTCCTCACGCTGGAGCGGTCAGCATTGCTTTCTCGTCACAAACCGCGCGGGGCCGAGGCGAGTCCATCCACGGTTAAACTCAATTCACAGGACACCACAATACTGTTTGCGGACTGCTAAGATGTTCTGGCGATCACTTTGTTCATTCTTATGAGACCCTCAACCCGCCTCGATACTATGATCTGAGCCATCACCTCCCCTCCGTCAACGAAAAGACTCCTGATTCCCATATGAGAAGGTCCCTGCTGAGACCCATGGACGACAATACTATTAGTTTACTTCGCTGGCTTGAGAATGACAGCAAAAGCCTCGAGAAGAAACCCGACTGGTTCCTGTTCGTGGACACAACCAAGGTAACGTTAAGAGTACTACTCTTCGTCGCTGGAGGGTGTTCTAATGCATGCAGGTCATTGGCCTTTGCCACGAGTCGCGTGCCAAAGTAATGGTGTCGGTCGGATATCACGATGTAGCACGCCCACCCTGTTCCCGTCGGTTGCATGTCAAACGGAGGGCATCGCTGGCCTGGCAAAAGCTGCGAACTCGCTGGGTCTCGAAACCCAAGGCGGTCTCGAAACAGCGCAGCACAGTGTCGAATGAGATTTCAGGTTTCGGCAGTTGGAAGTATCACGCAGTCTGGATAGATCAAGAGCGCGGCTTTCCTCGCCACGGACATTATTTTTCGCATTCTGAGCAATTCAGAATCGAGGGCGGGATTTGTTGGGAGTCGTCGCTTACCGGGCTCGACTTTCGTGGCTACTGGTGACTGGTGGGTGGTGGCCAGTGGAATGACTGGATAGCCAGGCCGAAGAAGATGATGTGATTGGTCTCGCGGTGGAACCACTCACAGTCCCCTCAGTCACCATTTTTACCACATGTCGCTGCGGTTCGTGAGGGCGACGTGCCAACCGGCGACTTCCATGAGCTGGGATTTGTCTGAAGTGTTTGACCATAACCATGAGAGATCGGACCAATGAAGAGGCATGCATGCAGTGAGGCCGGGCAAGGTGTTTTGTTCTGGACAACTTCCCACCGTGTCTCTAGTCTGGCTGCTCCAGGGCACGTTCAATTTGAACCAATCTTCGCCTGTCTCAAATCCACGTTCATCATAGGCTCTAGCTAAGACCTGCAGTCAGGGTGGCCGTAAAAGTAGCTCGTAGGGGGGCCGACTGCTGTATTGGTCTTCATCATTCTCAGCCATCGTTGATAGACAACCCAATGACGGATGGCGTCTCCGATGGCAGTCACTTTGAGAAGTTTGACAACATTCTGCATTTGCGCGCATAAATTGGGCGCGGTGTACAATGACCTAGATCCCCCCTGACAGTCCACATCTGGCCACACAGCAATCTGGGCAGCGTGTAGTGACTCGAACAACTGGATCCATTGTTAGCAGCAAGCTTGAGGCGAGGATCTGTGGCCTTCGGCAAACGAAGGCATGATGTGTTCGACGACGCGGGACTATGCACGCATTATGAAAGAAAGGTATAATGCATGGTGCTTTTGTGATACGCCCCAAAGATCGTGCCCTACTCGCCATGCGCTCAAAGGCATCGTCAGCTACAGCCTATACGACATCGCACTGGAGCTGGGGTACGCTGTTGCCGCCGCATCTGCGCAGGATCTTTGGGGCGCCCGTCAAAATTCAACACCCCGATTTCTCGCCCCTTTCTTTCTGCCAGAAGGCCTACCCCAGCCCTAAAAAACCTGTTTATGATACACGTTCGCTTCTCGCTTCCGCAATATCTCTGGCAGGCGACGCATCGAACAGAAATGTCGAGGCGGCCAAAGTCCGCCCACTTATCCAGTTGAAGTCGCAGTTGGTGTCACAACGGAACGTCAAAGAAACGTCAACGACGAGGGAACGGCGAGTAAGACACTTCTTCGTACAGAATATGACAAAACGGATGAAGAGACAGGCTGTGATAAGCGCATGTGACTTCCGCGTGCTGTACGAACGCTCGGTGCCTGACTTGTATGGGCCGTCCGTCGACAACCCAGTAAGATTGAATGAGGTCGTCGTTCCTGCTCCCGCCTGTTGGCGGCCTGTACTAACTTGGTGCGCGGGACGCATTAAGACGCCTTAAGCACGACCTCTAGACCTGGTGAGCTGGCTGTGCGGTTTCTTCAACAATAGGTTCGGCGACAACGGCCGAGGCAAAGCCCAATGCTCTGAGCTGGCGGGCCTGACTCTGCTATACTCGATGGGCTTTCACAAATTAACTTCCGAGGCTACAGGGTGTATTTTCAGCGGGATAGTCTTATATCTGAGAGCCAGAGCCTTCACCATGAACCAGGGAAAAGGGGGGGGGGGGAAATGCGGCAATCTTGGACAATGAGTCGGGACTTCTAGCTTCTGTTGAAGATTGCGCACCAGAGCTGTGTGGAAAGCCATGTCTTGCTCTTTTCGAATCTTACGTCCATGGCGGCCGGTCTCCCCGCTTCAGCTAAGCCTTAGGGAGCCGAGTAACCTATCGCTAACGATTCACACAGAGCGAGCGCAAAGGACGTCCGTAGGCTGATCGGGTTCTCTGACCATTTGGAGAACCAGGTGTGGCCCGAGGCCGCGAACGAAATTCAAAGTGAAAGCCTGGAATGCTCTAGCTAGACTGGTGCATGGGAAACCCCCTGCTGGCTTCTGCAACTTGCACGAGGAAACAATATCCTTACCCAAATGAGAGCTTGGAAGGGATTCAGTAAGACCGAGACTAGCCCGACGGCGGAAACCCCTCTCTTATCGTTACGACTCATGAACCGAAAAGTCCGCGTGCGACTGCAAATGCCCAAGCGGCCTCTCTCGTCCGTTGAGTCGCAACAGGGCCGCGTATGGGAATTTGGTGGACAGCTCGGGGCAGTTGAACAGGTATGTATGGCTGACATCCTGGCTCCCATATGCGATGATCTGGTCTTTTGGCCATTGACCGCGGAGATCCTTACGACACGTGAAATATTATGAATGAGTATCGCTATAGAAGCAACCTAGACTACGTTCACAGATACAGTCAGTTGCTAGGAAGGATATGGTTCGAAATCCTGCCAAGAGCTTGATGGAGAGGGGAAGAAGGGAAAGATGATTGGCGCGCACCGCACCCGTTGCCAACGCTTGCTTTGGGTCAGTCAGGCATGCTTCAAAGTGACACACCTCCTTTCCTGTCCATAATCCCACTGCTATGCGCTACAATCCACAAAGATTGTAACTCCTGCGGTCGGCCTGGATCATTAGTTCACTCAGCTGAATGTGGTAAGTGCATACCACGGATGGCACACAAGCGGATTGTACCTTTCCCAGCAGAGAGAGCTTTGAAGCGGAAGTGGTTCTCTGAATTGAGACCATTCGTTCAGAACGCGGTTTTCATTTGACTCTCGAAGTATTTTGCTGGTGCTCAATGTCTGGTGTTGAGACGATGGTTCATCCACTCACGATTGGGTCCGCGCCCAAGCAGGAGCTCGGTGAGCGCGCGGCTACGCAGAGGGTTTCGCCGCTTCGACTCAGGGATTTCCACCAGTTCAAACTACGAGGGCTATAGCTGTGACCAGAAACAAATCTAGGCTTTTGATTACCCCGGTTGCTTTCTTAGTGGAACCTAGGACCTTTGTGATTAGATGCTTCGATTCCTTATGCCATTTCTCTTGCGACCTTGGAGGGTAGCTTTCCAACAGCCGTTGGAACCCCCGGATTGCGAGATCCGAGATTGCGACGGAGTTCATGCGTAGGCCGAGCGAAGAGCCGACGAACCTGATTTCCAGGCCTTCGAGATATCCCCTGTAGAAAAGCCTCATCAATCAGGGAAAGCGTTGTAATTTTCATCACATGACGCCGAGCACCTGTTGGACCGCCTGCAAGGGTCTGAAAAATCTCATAGCTCATGATTTTCCTCATGTTCATCAAGGAGAATCTGATGGCTTGCCAGGCTCGCAAGACACAAAAAGCTTGCCTGAAACCACTGTGCACAAGATCGAGCGCCTTGTCATTTGTTCTTGATTCCTTTATCTCGAAAGCAGTTCTGTGCCAGACTTCGCAATGGCTGTACCATCTGCTACACGACAGTACCCGAAAAATGTGCGACCCATTCCGGGCACCCCTACCCCCTTCGCGCTGACGCTGACAGCTGTGACAGGACACCCTCGCGAAAGCATGGGACCTGCTAAACCATACTCTAGAAATTGGTCTCGGACATCAATCTTGGTCTTCAGTGCCGGAAGTCAAACTTGCCGCAGACTTTCCAACGAACAGCGCGATTTGGCTGACTCGAGCCGCCGATATGAGGGCTTCCAACGGACTTGAGAATGCACAATTTATAGGATATCGTGACCCTCAGCTCCATCCCTGGCTGTATGTTGAAGAGGTCCACCAAAAGAACAGAACTGATAATCCTGCAGAGACTCGCTCGACGATGACATCTGTCTTGAAGTCGACCCGAACATGATGTGGAAGGAGCGAAAGTACGATCTGATCCATTCTCGAGTGATCGGGTATATAGAAAACTGGCCAGAATATCTCAGGAACGTGCAAAGTTGCCTTGCAACTGCAGGTGTGCTCAACATAGAAGTAGTTGAGATGATTCCTTTCACCGACGAGGGTAGCCTGCCCGAAACATCCCCTCTCCTGAAACTATCTCGGGTCTTGTACGAACCTTCAGAAACACCAGAAGAACCGATCGGTAGCGTTTCCTCCAACATCGAACAAGATATCCAGAACCTTGGTATGAAAACAACGCTTACCACCCACAAGCTTCCAATCAAACATCACCCGGACAAGAACAAGCCTTTGCTGGGAGATTGGCTCGCATCGACGATGATCCAGTTTATAGAAGCAAATGTACCCATCGGGCGCGAGACGCCAGCGCGACTTAGACTGGATGACAAGCTTGTGGAAGCAGCGAAATCAGAAATCTCACACCCTTCTTTTCATGCATATTGCAACTGGTCGGTTTCTCCTCGTAATTCGGCAAAAGATCTGAAGCTGATCGTCTTCAAGCTATTGCATAGTGGCAACACGGTATTCCGAAGTACTATCTGTGTCTTCGCTTTGTAATTGATGGGCTGGAGAGATAATTGCGGGGCAAGTATTAGTGTTTAGTCGCCTGTGGGTTCACGAAGTATGGCATCTCCAAACCACGATTACAGAAAGGCACCTCGCAATAAACGCTCCGCACACAATCGCATTACACGAAGCTGCCAATATCTGTCTCGCATGCAAGTGATGCACCGTGTCATCGTGACATCTGAGAATGTTACACTCCTTAGCAATTGCTTGCGTATATCACACATCACGTTCCAAGGTTTCGCGATAGCTGTGGGTTAAATTGTATCGTCCAAGCCACCACAGTGTGAACTCCTTTGCAAGACTGCCCCGACGAAGGGACGCCGAAAACGATAGAGAAGGTGCTACGTTCGACCCGAAACATGATTTAGTTCTCATCGAAGCAGCTCTTGGCGTCAAGTGTGAAGTGTCAGCGGCGATGGAACGACAAGGTGTACCGGGAGAAACGATGGTTAGCCGAGCTTCAAAGGTGATGACTTGATGGATCAGGAATTCAATCAGAGGCCCCACGTATGAAGCGGCCGGTCTCTCGTACTTTGCTACTCGTCTGTGGCGCTCAAGATACCGCACCGGCCGACAGGATGTATGAGCGGCGAGCATGGGTTGCCGACACCACTTTCGAGTAAGACAGGCTGACGGAAAATGCCCTGAATGCGGTGAAAACTGCTTGCCAGGTGTGGTTTGGCTCCGAAGACCCCTGAAAGCAGCTCAACGTGGCCAAGGCATTGTTCTTGGGCACCTCCAGTGCCTGGGCAGCCCGGACCTAGCAATGGACGATCGAGGCCCACCTGATTACATACTGGAGAACGGGGTGACGAGACCGTGCGCCGCTGGCCGCGTCTTATAAAGCCGTCGCGGTCCCGACGATAGCTGGAAAGGTGTTGGTCGAGACCGTATCAGTCTCGATAAAAGAATCTGTTCGTTGATCAACATGGCAAAGGAGCCCCAATCTTATGGCGGCGAAACGTTTTCACAATATGGCTATGAAGCATCCTCAAGTTCTGACGATGGAACAAACTCATCTCTCGACTCTGGCGTTTCTGACCTAGATATGTTCGTTGACTCCGGCCCCGAAGTCTGCAGTGACATCGAGCTAGAAGATCGCAAGAAAATGGCCCTTGACGTGTTAGAACGTCACGGAAAATACTGGGACACCCAGTCGATCGATGATTGGAACCTTCAATCGGTCAAGTCCGGAAGGTTTATCATCAGCGACAAATCCGCCAGATTTGCGACGGGGAATTTCCGCGCCAGGGGGGAACCACTTGTCCTGGATTTTGTAGATAGCAGGTAAGTCGGTTGATCGATAGCACACTTGATGTCGCTGACAAGCACAGTTACGGAGAGGATCTCGGCGTTCAGTCTTCGCATGACTACGTTTGCATTTGCATCACCGGAGCAACATTTTCGTCGCACCTCTTTGAAAATCTCTCCAAGTACCGCTGTTACCGGGCCTTTCTATGAGACGTCTGCTAATCGAATATCGAATCAGGTCTCTCAATCCCAAGGCTACCATCGACGTTCAATGCGGCGGATTAATTGCATCACCCGCGAAGTCCGATGACAGTCCTTCCACGGACGAAACCTTGGCCGGAGAACATGCAGATATGATACAGAAGGTCAAACATTTGATGGAGAAAGTTGGGCTTGTGTCTCAAAGCACAAGGACGCGTCGTATACCCAGCGCATCAACAGTGGCGCGAACATTCCAGACTGGAGACCCATGGAGCTTACCGAGAGTGACAGGCGGCGCGAATAGGTACCTTTCTACCTGGCAAATGCTTCACAGAGAAGAAGGCGTGGAGACGTTACTGTAGGGTCAGTCGCATCAATTGACAGGCGGAAGCTGACGACTGCAGGCACATTATTCGAGCCAGCGCGTCGCGAATGAAGAGACCTAGAGAAGATTTCATTGATGAGGCTGGACCGAAACGACTTCGCTTGTCGGCTGGGAGGCGAGACGTGTGACGGAGAGATGCGACTCCGTGGGCCTCGATGCGTAAAAGACCACTCGGTAGAGAATTAAAGGGGACTATTTGGATGCGCTAGCCGAAGTCAGGCGTAGTTAAGGCGTCATGCCGCAAAGTGTATGCTACGCCCAAAACCATATCTGTAATTCTATTCAAGCCGTCTTGCGTGCTGCTGGGCATTTCCTCTGTGACTTGGGGTGGGGGAGGAGAACAGTATGCGTAACATGATATTCGAGCGGAATTGACCTTATCACCGGCTTGCGAGGCTTCCTGTAGGGCATACGTGGCAGGTCGGCGATCTCATCACATTGACGGAGGACGTTCTGCGGACGCAGTAGCGGAAGGCCTGGCGCTCTCGCAACAGCGCCGAAGCCTGGACTAGGGCATCTCGAGCCGAGGCCCAATCGGGGCAGCCCTGCGGGGTGGGTTGAGGGCAGGCGTGGGCAGCCGGAGCGAGTGACATTGACCGAGGGGCGCTCGAGCCCCCGGCAGAGTGACGGACACCAGGTATGTGGGGCTCGAGGACCAGCTAGGAGGGGGTGTGCGGGTGCGGGTGCGCATGCTGGACTGGTGAGGTGTGAGCAACGACAGAGGTGCTGGGTGAGCTAATCGAACAAAGTTGGAGGGGAGTGGGAACGACAAATCTTGCATCGTCCTTGCAGCCTCCCCAGTGCCACGGCACAGACGACGTGGGGCGCTCATCTCACGTTTTAGCGTTCCCAGACGGCCCGCTTTTGGCATGCACAGGGAACGTTGGCCCAACCAATCAGGGCTCATCTTCCGACTTCATGTCTTGCGCAGCGACGGCCAGCGCAGAACCCGACAACATTCGTGTTGGCTGACCGTCGAGAGATTCGCGGACCAGGGAAAGGGCCAATCGCGGACATGCCGTGCAGTACCCGCTGGTTGCCGCCGGCATGGGCGGTCTGTTGGGCATCGGACCGTGGCTCCTTGCGAATGGAGGCACTGGCTCTGCGGTCGTGTCCCTTTGAGGCAGCTGCGGCACCCTAGGCATTCTAGGACATATAAAGGCTGGTCTGATGGCGAGATATCAATTCGAATACATCAAACCTCACTTTACCACAACGCAACCTTACACTCTTACCCGCAACCAGCACAAGATCGAAGGCGAACGAAGCCGAAAGGATGGACCGCTACCCCTGCGTCAACAGATACAAGCACGGCGTCGACTGCCCCGGCTGGGTGAACGTCCACGGTGCGCGGTGCGAAGACTGTGTTGTCGTAAGTCACACGCCCGATCATACCCACGTCTTAGTGACCCTGGATAGTACAACCGGTAGACGCGAGGGGTCTTAGGTGGTTCAATGCGATCGACGGAGCCAAGGGATGGGCGGAAAGTACCTGCAGCAACTTGATTAGCCAGACGGAGATGATCTTGAATCGACCCTGTGTACTCCTATTGTGTGTTTGATGTTCCCTCTGCCAGGTCCATGCCCCTGGATGCCGATGCTACGTGCAAGTGACTGTTCTCCGAGTTTCCCAATGCTGCCTAATTGTACCGTAGTCTGCCTCGAGCCTGCTCGCAGCCTGCTCGCAGCGATATCGGACGTGCGAACCATCGCAGACGCCTCTCACGGGAAGCCATAAAACCGTGCTGCCCAGACGGCGTCGAAAGAATTGTACTTCTAGTCACACAATAAGCGCAGAATTGACCGCCGCGGAAAGTTGCGAAAGGACGACAGCCAATTGCTCACGATACTTCCAATAGCCCGTAGAAGTGCTGGAGTCGAGGACCATGCTAGGAGCCCTGGGGAGGCGGAGCTGAGATGGCGGACCAACCTTAACGCCCAAGGTAGCACAACCTCCGCGACGAGGGCCTACCTATGGGACTAGATGCTGGTCGGATCAACGTAACTTTCCAAGGTCTCGACCCCAACGACACCACCGCACTTTCGCCCGTCGGCCAAGGAACCTATCCGTCGATAGTGCCATGCCACTTTCGATACTGGCTGCGCGGGCTGCACCTGAACAATCGGGAAATGGGGATGGGCCCGCACATGGTGAGTCCCCAGTCTTATCCACCCTCTACACCCTTCCATACAAGACCGTCAAGCGGTGTCAGAAAGCGTGCCATTCCCGGCTGGCAATTAGCCGTGTTTCCGCTTCTAGTCAATCCCCGCGCATCAATGAGACTAGAACTTTGGCCAGCATCGGCAAACGGCACCTAATTTCGCGAACGGGTCTTCGATTGCCACGACCAACTGGAACTCTGGCCGTCGATCAGCGTACTAGTTCCGGGCGACTCACCACATGGGCTTCGTTTCATTGGAAATCATCAAGTCGTTTTTATGACAGCTGGTGTCGAGCCCTCGCAAGCTATCTCAAGCCCTTCTTCTGTCTCGATCTCCCGTCCCGCACGTCCTTCCAGCGATTCTTGACGCCACCCAGGCCGACGAGTTCATGAGTTCTTAGAATATCAAACATCATACTGGTAGCTGACGCATCCAATCTGTTTCAATGGGGCTACTCGGGCGGCGTACTGACCGACAAGTTAGGTTCCGGTGCATATTGTCTTCCTGCGCTCAGCTTCAAGCGTCCATCACCGCCAATAGCTAACCGAAACGCTCACTAGCCATCCTTCAGTCCGCCTCCAGCATCGACTCCGAGAGCAAAGAAAACGCCCGGACATGTGCCCCAGGTCCGTTCCTCCAGCTGCTACTCCCGGGTCGAGTTGGCTTTCTGCCAACAAGCCTGGTCAGGCAAGCGAGAGGCGCATGCCGAACTCGGCCGGTCTCGACCCCGAAAGGGAGGCTCAGGACTATGGGCAAACACCTTCTTCTCAGTCCTCCGTGGGAAGGGACAAGATACAACCTAATGACCCAGATTCCGACTACGGTGACGAATGCGCGATTGACAATGATGACAGCGCCGACGTGTTTAGCGTCAGCGAGGAGACTTTCTTTCAGCGTATCGAACCCAAGGTTGGCCTGAACTCGCATTGCTCTCTTCTTACCCTCTTGTTTAAGCAGAAGACAAACGACAGAGGGGTGGGCAATGTTGTCCCTCAGTCCACCTCGGCACTCCCTTGGACTCTTCCCAGCCAGCCGGCCCCGCCTACCTTGGCTGGCTCTCCCGACGATACCGACGGTACTCCGTTGATGATGAGCCGCGGTAAGACCTCGGTGCCGCTGAAGTCCATCACTGAGGCGCCACCGTTCTCCGCTAGGCCTGTCAACGCGAGTATCAATAACGATAATGCGACTCTTCCCTCCCCCAAACCACTCGACGCAACATGATCGCAACCGAAGTTGCGGAGTCTGTCCGAAGGGATGTTCCCTCTGTGTGCCTTCGGAAGGATTCTACTGCTAAGAGCACCGCCATATCTTCCACAATGTCGCGAACCTGAAGTAGTACCCCGAGAGGACCTACAACAATACAAAAGAGGATATTGCGAGCCCTGTGAAGCACTACATTGCCGAACATTATGAAAGTTACTATTCTCAGGGCTGGTGAAAGCATTGGTTGTGAGATATCAATGACGACCATGGGGGAAACAATGCATGGAAACGATGTTTACGCAGCATGCAGACATCGAGTGACGGTTTGGCTCGCGACTGGCCGCGCGGGTTTGCGGCAGCCTACTGTGGGCTTTTCAATGAGCGACGCTCCGGCTATGGGATCTAACGGCTTCATTGAGGTGTACAGTACTGCAAAAACTGGGCCTCATTGGTACATACAAACACGACTCCTCGGCAATCTTAGACTGTTAATCAGGTCGTTGCTAGGTTCTTAGGCGGGACTGGATGATACGAAGATGGCGTATAGAGGATCTATTATGTACTCAGCGAGACAACGTCCCTTTGAGGACCAAGGCTACCATCAAAAGTTTCTCCCACTGCTTTCTTGCGCAGCCGGGTGTTGCGAAATGCGCCTTGACCCCTCAAGTTAGAGTCACACATCCAACGGTGCTCCTAAGGAGAGATCTCCAGCAGCTGTGTAGACGAATATTAGTGATGTGAAAACCTAGTCCGCTGATCGTTAATCTAGCGTGCTCTACGATTTAAAGCCTTGATCACGTCCTCTTGAGGTCCACGAGTTGATTCAAGAGCAGGGCTTACGTTTCCCAGTATATGGAGTGGCTGCCAGAACCCCGACTCCTTGTCCGCACTCCATCTCTCCTCTCTCAGTCCTCAACGGATGCATATGGGTATATATGAGCGCCTGGCTGGCGACATCTAACTTCGCTAACAAGATCCCTGGCCCAGTGTTCAATTACGTTTTGGTTTTGGACGATAGATGCATTGCAACAGTCAAGTCTGCGTATCTAACTTCCGTTTATATGGCTGTATGATATCTATGACACATGCGACAAGAGTTCTATCACCTGCTGTGTATAATACTGTTCATGTTCAAGGAAAAGACATCAAACAAGTATCTCTGGACCATGGGGGCATACTTCCTAAAAAGCTGCCCAGAGTTCTCCACCGATATTCCCGCGATCCGCCCGATACCTTGCACAGCTTCCGGCGTCGCCATCGTATCCTCCATCCCTCCCCAAAATTTGCCTCAGCAGGCCTCTTCGTCGCGGCTTAAAACGTACGAGAAAGCTGGCGACTGCTAAACTTGCATCGTAGAACCTGGATGGAAGACTGACCTCCTGATTGGGGAGATAGAGATACAGGTTGGAGGACTTCTGTTGCGGAGGGAAGCAGCAGGCCTCCTCAGCCGATGTCGGCCGAGCAGGGGATATCTGTGTTGTAGGCATTTACAAAAGTTCTGCAATTATCTACAACCTGTGTCACATTGGAGTCACATATTTAACGGTACGCCGGGAGGAGATGTTCAAGGCCATATCCACGCTATCTGGTTTCTCATCTTTCTACTCGGAGTCGATTAAGTGAACGAGAGAATCCATTCTAAGTACCGCCGATGGAGTACAACAGTAAACACAAGTTCGGTCGACTTTGTAAACCATATCCAAGTCTACCGAATGCTCAAAAGGATTGGAAGGGCAAAAATCCAAGTAAGCCACATAGTAAATCCGACTGATTTCTCACAATTAGGGCAGGCCGATGGTGTGAGGCAGCATACTTACATCACTATGTCTCGGGACAACATCGTCAGAGCATTCAGGTAACCCTCATGATAGCCACTCTCGGAAAGCAGACATTGGTGTTGCTCCATAGCTTGAAGTATCAGCTTATCAAAACCACGCACACAGTTGAGGGGGACACAACAGGATTCCCCAAGACCGCTGTAAACCAATTTGCCTGAGTCGAAACGTTCGTAGACCACCCAATGGGTCATTTGAGGTTCAGACTTGAATCCTGGTTGCAGCACATCGTTTTTCCCCGGAGCTGTAACGGGTGCAATGTAATCATTGGGCATTGCCGATACTCGTCTCAAGTGGCCTGTTATAGATCAGAGACTGAAATTTGTGTTTCCGAGATGACGTGAATTTTCTGACCTGAGAAATTTGGATTGGATGCGTTCTCGAAATATTCCATTTTCACACAAGAGGTTGGGCTCTGGTTGGAAATCGGAAAACTGTCTACTTTTCGTTCTCCTAGGAGAGAGCAGTCGACCTTCCGCCGTTGACAGGTCTTACATGGTCCGACCTTGCAGCATTTAGTCTTCAATCTACGGCATTCAGCGCATGCCTGGAAAGAGTTGGTTAGCTATTTGATGCCGATGCTACTTGATTCTCTACTTCATTAGAACGCTAGAGAAAGTTTGGCATCCTGAAGCAGTGAGAGCATTTCAGGACTTCGGCTTACTTTTGGGCGGTAGGTTTTTTTTGTGATTGCTGACTGGCCGCCTGACAGATCTCTTTCGCCAGGCCTTCTGCGTTCAGAGTAGCGCCGGCCACTCCTGACAACGGGTTAGATAGTATATAAAGAGAGTAGCAGCACTCACTGACATCGTGTGGTTCGGTTGTATTTGGAGATGTTGGAGGTGAGAACGGCGACCAAAAAACGTCCCCGAACAAGAAGAAAGCCGCCTTTTTATATCAGAGCCGTCAAGGTTACGGAAGGTAAGATAGTAAAAAGTTGATGCCCTCAGGAATAAGGCCATAAACCAAGAATCCCTGCCCAGTGCCCCTTTTGTTGTAGTGACACGTCTTCAGGGGAAGGCGTAAAACCCCGGGCTTTGCCCTTCACCAGGCGAAATGCGGTACGCAAGTTGGATAGTCATCGATTTTTTTGAAGCCGATTCATTTAGACAGATGGTCTAGCTTCATATGAGCCAAATGTACTGAGGACTGATCAATCATGCCGTGATGTGATGTTCTTCGTTACTTCAGGTCTCAAGAGTGCAAAGCGGTGCTACATTTCCCCAAGACCAGCCGATGTCAAGTAATGTTGACTCTAAAACTCCTGCTACGGGGCATGAAGGGAAGCCTATAGATTGAGGAGCATACGTCTGTCTGGAAAGTTCCAGTAGGTGTCTAGTAATCCGCTAGAGATAGATAGTAGACAGGAGACAGTACCAGAATGTTTTAAGTTGATGTCTGCGTGTGCGAGCAGAAGCATAGCCGTAGTCCTCAGACCTTCTGATAAATTCTCATTCTCTTCCCCTCCATGGGCCTGAACTCTTCCAATTTGAATGATCTCGATTGATCTTAACCATTTGCGGTTTCGCCCCTCACGAGGTCTGTGATCCAGTCACTTGCTGGCAAACACCCAAAGCCGTCCCCTGAGCAGTGTTTCACAAGCTGCCTTCACGTAAGCGGCAAGCGCAAGTCAAATATGGGAGATCCGAACTCCATAGAAGATAATCAGAGTGTTGAGTAAATGCATCCTTTCTCGCCTCTCATGCACAGGTGTAAGGTCTTACCAACCTTGCACTACCGAGAATAGAGGTTCGCTGTTTTCCTCCACTACCAGATAAGAATCTATCATTGTACGGATCAGTACTTGGAGTTTCCTTGAAAATGAATGACATGACGTTGGCTCGCAGACTCGACATAGCGACATTGAAACGAGCTGCGTAAACGAGAAAGCGGTTGTCGCCAAGGGGCCACTTTCCAGGTTTGGGTAGCGTCGCTAACAAGCGCCAGTTTCCAAACGGCCGGCCGGTTTCGGGACCAAACAAGAAGAATACGGAACCGTGGGCGTTTTGCCCCGGGGCCCACCCCGCTCCGATAACATTTGTGGGACAATACCGGCCCGAGGACCAAAGTCCGGCTTGGTGGTAAGTGAGGACTTGTCGCGTCGCTGAATACCACCTGAGCGACCCGCCCATGTCAGGCTGGTATCAATGTGGCAGGTAGCGCCCTGCAAGTACATACAAGGCCGCTGCCCGCATTAGAAAAACTCCCTCAAAGTCACTACCCTTGTTATACGCACCGTAGAGCACGAGGAATGTGGGAGCAAACGCGCGTCGAATGCGACAAGTCATGATGGCAGATTTCGAATTTCGACAGGCGCAGGCCCACATGAACGCAAGGCGGGCGTACAAACACGATCAATGGGGTGGGATTTCAGTGCGCTGATCTCCAGTCCAGGGTGCTACACTCATCCGAGGCCTGGGCGTGCATCCCTGGCTCCTTGTCCGCGTTGTTGATGTCTTCTCGCTTAGTCCTCCCGATTCCAGTTGGAGCCTGATCGCAGGTGTGCATAGCGCGAGTACGCAAAGCGCCCGCTGACGCATGCTCTAATGCTTTTACATAATGGTAAGCGTAGTGCTTATGCTGGTAAGTCGATACGGAAGCAGTCCGTAGCTGAAGGCGGTTGGAGAGAGAGGTGACGGCCGCCAAAATTGGAAATTGGGAAAGCTATCCAAGCAATGGCACGGCATATTCGGAGATAGGTGGTCGAATCGTCTAACGTAGGTAACATATCATGTTGGAAAGCTCTCTCTTGCACCGAGCGGCTGCTGACTGTCACGTTCGTCATGGCCTTTTGGGTTCCGTTGTTCTAACCTGTCACTTGGAAACCAAGGGGCGTTCAAGGATCTGTTCGTCAATGATGAGATAGGTTACCTGTGCAACACAGACTTTGGCGCAGGCATCGAAGGCGCGCCCAGGACCACCTAAAGCCGGCTTCAACCGCGAAGGTCAAGCTTGCGAATCAGCCCATACTACTTCACTTCTCTATTTTTCCATTGTAGAAGTGTGCTACGCCGTATTGATTTCCGCTCACGTCGTCAGGGACTCACAATGATCATGGTAGGTAAGCCTCACTCGGCCAGTACTGTGGTAGATGTGATTGGTTTCATGGGTTCAGTACCTACAGGTCAGTAGAAATTTACCGTCGCTACTTCCACCACCTCTTTACTACAGGGATAGATTACTCTATGACTCTTACGCGGCACTATTTCTAGCTCTCGGTATTGTACTTTCGTTCCGGTAGAAGGACGTTTTCTCCTCGTAGTAGCTGTGCTGACCCGCCATATCGGCGAGAAGTTACGAGAGTCAGTTTCATCGCATTTGTACATAAGTATATAGATTTCCTTCTCATTTTAACGCACTGGCAGCACGATATTCTCGTTATGTCGCCTTCTTTGACCGCCCTGACGCCTGAGGAGAGCTGGATTTGTCTTCTCTATCGCTGAAGAATGGAGCGTGAACATCGTAGATGGCATCCATTCTCCTCCCACAGTGGACCGTGAATAGAGACGTCTTTTGGTACCTATTGAAGCGAAAGCTGCAATTCCATCTGTCGCTCTTAGTTGCGTTGGCGATGGCAAAAGTAGAACCGGTGCGCAGCTCGATGACACAGTGTCAATGCTATGCGCTTGCGTTCGCTCTAGGGTCCTGCCCACGGCGTGGTAAATTTTCCATCAACTATGACTCATTCGAAACTCGGTTCGTGTGTCTAACTGCCTTCGAGGGCGGTGTGCTTGATCAAGGGGCTGCGGGGTGAGGCATTGTTGATAACTTTACACCGGAAGCAGGGACAGCTCGGCCGCCTGCGGGAAAACGTGTCCGCGCGTCAAGATAGCCAGGATCATAGACAAGGGCAGCGAGTTGCATCGAGAATCAGGTAACTAGAGGTGAAAGGTGACAAGCAATGGAACTTATTAGCCTCTGGATTCGCGCTTCCAGGCCGCAACTGGCAGGATACATTATCAGAGATTGACAGAGAGTAGCACTGGCTGGTCAGCCTGCCTCGAGCTGACATGGGCCTACATGTGAGACTCTGACCTAAGATTGGTCCTCTTTGCCCCTGTAGCTTCGCCTTGGACCATGTTCATACACACCGCTTGAACTTTCTCTCCTCGACTAGGGCGTTCTACTGTCCCTAGCCCAGGTATGTTGCAATGGAAGCCGGTTGTGATACAGCAGGGGTCCAATGACACAGACATCGAAGGACGTGTAACGATTGGATACGGTGTCGAACTTTGTTGGGAGACTGAGCGGCTGGATGTAGGCTTCGATGATTATAAAGCACGCGAGCTGCCTACCGATGCTTTGGGTCCTCGACTTCACCGCACATGGCGACTCATTGAACGACCCGAACAGCCGTAGTTGATCAGTCAACTGGCCCTTCTTTCAAGCTATGGAGGAGATTCTATCCCATTACATATCTGACGAAGACTTTGTCAAAAGCTTCGAGAAGGCGACGTAAGCTCATCGCTAGCTCAGCTAGACTGTTATGACTAATACTTGCCCAGGACCTCCAGAAACCATGACCGAGCTGTCCGAGACCTGGTTTCCCAAGCACTATCTGCATTCTCTAACCAGAACTGGGACGAGTTGCACGAGACTGCACGGAGACTTCGTTGGGTGCAGATGTGGAACTTTGCTCTCGAGGCGTTTACCGTTGTCACTCGAGGCAAGTTGAAGATATTCGGCAAAACCAACCAAACATTCAAAAGTACCGTTAGCTTGGCGGACGCTCTCCGAGTCACCGCATGCAACATGGAGCAAGACAACTGCCGAAGACGTCGGAACGATGTCCTCTCGCTATTCCGAGAAGCCCTAAATGGAACCCAAGATGAGTCGCTGCTCCAAGAAGCTCGTATGAGACTTGGCAGTTTCTACACGGATAAGGGAGAGTATGATGCGGCACGAAGTGAACTTCAACATGCAGAAGCGTACAAGAACACCAGTCGAACTCAACTTTTCGAACTCCGAATGACTTGGATAGACATCCCGATCAATCAGGAGCAGTTCCTCGAAGCTGAAGAGGCCTTTGAAAACTTGCTTGGAGATCTTTCGAAGTCTGATGTGGATAGGCTCATTCGAAACACTGCCTTAGATAGGTACGCCAACGTACTTGTGAATATCAAATGGAAGGCGGCTGGGAAGGCAGAGGATTCCACCTTGGAGGGACCCGACTTGCGCAAGGCACACGACATGTATCACGAGTTATTTAACTTCTACAGTGGCATGAGCGACATCGTCGGCGTGAGCGGCATCGCCAACTCGTCGCTTCCCTATCTTTCTATCCGCGTCGTTCATTACGGCAATCAAATGCGGGTTATGAAAAAGAGGATGGAGGAGCTCAAGACAAAATGAGGAACGATACTAGTTTTAATGAAGACGGTTTTCATGAAAGTTGCAGGATCCCATGGCAGTCGCGGGACGGTTTATTCTGTATCTGCCCAAAGAGCCGATTCGTTTGATGTGAACAAGGAAATGAAGGCTACCAATCCAGGTAAATGAGTTGAGAGAGATGAGAAATACCCCAGTCACGTCTAGCCGCATCAATCAAGACACCAAACCTCTCGCATTTGACATAGTGCAACCTTTTGAATCTAAATCCGCCTAATCAGACAGAAGCATAGTATGTTCTATCAAATGGAAGGCTCGCCTCCGCCACTGGAGAGATCGCAGCGAAGTACTCGAAGATTTACGGCCCGGATGGTACGCGTGCCGGGTATGAAGAAGGTACTGCGAAGCAGCTCAATAGTGTTTTGAATATGTTCTTGGATGGGAAAAATATGCATCACTGTCAACTCAGTACTAGCCACGCCACCAACCTAGACTCCTGCACTGGTCAGCGTAGGCTGGCCTCGGAGCGTCACAGGCGCATACACGTCGCTGCTTGCCACCTTCACTTTGGCCCCCTTCTATGTGCAGGGAGGCTACGGCACAACCCGTTCAGTCGAACGGTCGGTGTACACTACGCAGCATCATCGAACGTGAGGAGTCCGGGAGTCGAGGAAGGTGTAGAAAGAAGGCCAATTTCGGACGAGGATGACGCCTGTTCGGGCGCCCGAACGTATCCGCCGAAAGGAAGTGGACCACAGTAGGGCCGGTGTGCCGGGGTCAATCCCTTTGCTGCGAGTCGAGTGGGGCGTCCTTAAATGCACGACCAAGTACAGTATACGTGACACTGAGCCTGGAAGTCGCGACACGCCCCCGACTATCCGCGGACGAGGGTGTCGGTTCCGCCTGCTCGCCTTCCAAGCATCCCTAATTGGGTGGCTTTGGCGCTGCAACAGGGGCCGCTGCGCGTGGCATACCACCAATCACGCACTGCCTAGCGAGCTAGATCCAACCCAATCATGTGGTTGTTTGCTAACGACGCGCAAACCCCTGTCAGGTTACCTTCCCTGCCCTCCGCTGGAACGAGCCTGCCAGGGTCCGGCAGCTTTTTTACAGCCCGTGAGTGATTCATCTTCCCCAGATCAGCTACCTCTTCTGTGCAGCTCCGCTCTAGTTGACCTGTCAAGTGTCGCTGCAGCGGGAAACACGCGAAACCACTGCCTGTCTTGGAGAGTGCTTGATCCCGGGAAGCTTCTCTCCTTCCTTATCCCTGCGTTAACCGCACTATGTAATGAATACCGCCGGGTGACCACGGCCGTCAGGACCTGCATGGAAGTGAATCGATACCTTTGGGATGTTGTTGTTGTTGTTGTTGTATTTAACGCCGTGGCGGCCGGGCTAGAGCCCTTACCGCAGACCTCCCGAAGGGTATATGGCGTGGAGGGCCGTGAGCCAAGGCTACCTACTCTACAGTACGTCGTCTCTTTACATCGTCCTCCAAATCATGCCTTGTGGCCACTACGCGTTCTGTCTGTCCCCGGTTCCCGCTGGTGCCCCAGTTTCATTCTTTCCCAAATCGTCCCTTGGAATCGGGAGGTTCTTTGTAGTCCGCACTCACATCTACGTAGGTGTGGATGCTGCTACCGCAGACAGATCTTCTGGAAGAAGTCCGTCACGCGGAGAAAGGCCTCGAAGCCTCGTGGGTCGGTGATTAATCTCTTGAAGTAGGCCTCGAGAGATCCCATAGGGCCTATGGGCTCGGGCATACTGCGAGAGTGGAGGGTCGGCCACCGTTGCCTCCTCGCCAGCGTTAGTCGACAGTAGACCAGGTGGTCCACGTCTTTCGCCTCTCCACAAGAGCACATCATTAGAGCGTCGTCGTGGTTGAAACGTCGGTGATATTGCTCGAAGTCCCCGTGACCCGATCGTGCCGCCAGCAGGTGATGTAACGTAGCCCGCGGCAAGGCCAGTTCAGGAGGGCTGGACAGAGCTGCCTCAAGCCCCAAGTCCGCGTACCGCGGCCTTCGCTCTTTATACCACCATCTCCTGTGCTGGCTTTGTAATTTTTCCCTTGCAAGCCGCTTGATGCCCGCTAGTGTTGCCATTTGACCCATCCGCGCCGGCAGTGTCGTTCCTTCTTTGGCCAGCCGGTCCGCGGCCTCGTTTCCTTCGATGCCCTGGTGTCCCGGGGACCAGTGCGTCCGTATATCAAATATCCTGGCCGCTTCTTGGATTTCGAGGAACGCGTCTTGTGACGAGTCCGGCGCCTTGCCGCGGATGCCTTGTATAACGCTGGTGTTGTCGATACATATGTGGATTGGATGACCGCGATTGGTGAGCAGAGCCCTTCTGAGGCCGGTTCGCGCCCCTTCGACCTCGGCGTCGAACACTTCTGCTAGTCCGAGTCGGCCGCACCCTTGTGCTATGCGTTTGGAGTCTCGGTAGATGACGAAGCCGTACCCCACGGCTCCGTTCGTCGCCCTGGAGCCGTCCGAGAAGACGATCATATGGCTTTCCGGTACTGTCTTTAGCCAGCGCTCGAAAGCTTTCGCAGCCTCTTCTTTGCATTGAACTACTATCTGATCCTGTGAGCTTGGCAGGTACTGTGATTGAAGGAACGCTGGTCTTCCGCATCTTGGCAGAAGTTCAGCCGTCCGTTGTAGTCTCGTCTGTTGCTGTCCCTGCTGGGAGAGCCGCGCGACTAGCGGGTGTCGGCGATCAATCCTCTGTAGTCGGACTGCGGCCCGTAAGCGGACGCCCTCTAAGGCGACTTTGGCTGACGGTAAGCCGGCGTCTCGGAGGAGGCTACTGGTTGGCGTTGTCCTCCAGACAGGCAGAACGGCCCTTGCTGCCGCTGTAATGACGCTGTCGATCTTCTGCACGAGCCCCTTTTGGCCTGTGTTGACGGGTCTTCCTTGGAGAGGCGGATTCGTGTCTGTCTCCGCTTGGCGTCTCGAAGCCGGCTTCGTGATACCTGCGTACCATGTTTCGGCGCCGAAGAGCGCGATCGGCAGTACGCAGGAGACGACGGCTTTTCGCACGGCGGCCGCTGGGAGTCCCCTCTTTGTGTTCGTAAGCTGTCTCAGATGTTGAGCTGCCCTCTTTGCTGCAGCTACTTTTGCGTCGACATGGTGCCGGAAGGACAGTCTCTTGTCGAACCAGACACCCAGCCAGCGTACAGGTTTCGTCGAGGCCTTGACCACCAAATCCCCCGCCCGGACCTCTGGCAGCTCCGCTGGCTGGCCGTGCTTCCTAGTAAAGTGGATGACCTCGCACTTGCTCGGGTCAAAGGAGACCTTGTTCTCCAAGCCCCATCTGAGAATGCCGGCTGCGCTTCGGTTGAGTATTGCGACGTTGCTCTCCAGGGAGGGGCTGATGGCCAGAGTGGCGATGTCGTCCGCGTACCCGAATCGCGCGTTCGGGTCGTCTTCAAGTATCTCTGCGATGTAGAGCAGAAAGGCAATGGGAGATAGTGGTGACCCCTGAGGCAGCCCGCATGACAGCGGGAAGTACTCCGTTGTGCTTTCTTCCAGTCGGACTCTAGCGGTGCGGTTGCAGCAGAAGCTAAAGATCAGTCTGGTCAGGCCATGTGGCCATCCCTGCTGACGCAGTCTAATGACGAGCCGGTTCCGAAGGACGGAGTCGAACGCCCCTTTTACGTCCATAGTCAGAAGTGTCGCCGTGAGTCCTTTTAGGAGGGCCATCTCGATGTCGTGGGTGAGGCAGGTCGTCAGATCGACGGCTGACCTGCCTTGTAGAGCCCCGATCTGTTGCGGACTGATGATGCGCTCGACAATCGCCAGGGACGCCATCCTTCTGGCTATCAGTCGCTCTAGTCCCTTGCCCAGGCACGAGAGGAGCGCGATCGGCCGCCAGGACCCGGGCTTGGAGGCATCCCTGCCGGCCTTCTGGATCATGACCACCTCAGCTCTGCGGAAGGGCAGAGGAAAGTGGCCGGCCCGCATACAGGACTGGAATAGCTGCCTGACCGGTTCCGAGATGACATCCCAGCATGCCTGGAGGAGGCGTGTTGTGATGCCGTCCACACCAGGGGTCGTTGTCTTTGTTAAGGTGGCCGTCTTCACTTCTTCTCCGCTAACATTGTCCTGCCAAGTAATCGCTCGCCTCGGGACGACGGGTACGTCAAACGGGTCACCCGGTGCGTCATCTTCCGCACTAAACCTGTCGAGAAGGGCTCCCCGAAGCGCTTGAGCCTTTTCGTTAGTATCCTCGATCGTCTGGTTGTCCACAACCAATGGGGGTGCTCTGGTCAGTAGGCTCGCCTTCCGCCAACCCATGATCTGGTACAGGTCCCGGTCTGAAGCGACTCCATCGATCTTTCCGGCCCAGTATGCTCGCTTAGCCTTCCTCACCGTGCTCAGGAACGCCTTTCGTTTCTCCATTAGATAAAGGTGCGCATCTTGCTCCGTCTCCCAGGCTTGTTGGTTGCGGGCAGCACGGTATGCTCTGTGGGCCTCTGCGCATTCCTCCGTCCACCAAGCCGCGCCTTTACCATGTTTTCCTCTCTTCTTGCCGACCGCCTCAATGGCTCGGGAGAAGAGCTCGACGATGTGACTTGCCTGCCCGTCCAGGTCTTCCGGAGTAGGTTGATCCCCCAGATTGGGCATCGCAGCTAGCCCCCCTTCGATCAGGTCTCTCAGCCGAGGCAGCGCCGAGTCGGGCACTGACAGTGGCCGTGGCTGCGGGTGGCCCTCTCCCTGTGACACTGGGCGTTTGAGTAGTGGTATGACGGCCACGATGGCCTCGTGGTCAGCTCCCGGGTGTAGCTGTGGGCTGACCTGCGCGTGCGCAAAAGGGATATTAGAGAAAGCCAGGTCCAGGACATGTCCGCAATCCTGGGTTGCCACCCCAACTTCGCTGATAAGAGAGAGATTGTGGCCGTCTGCCCAGCCTGCGATGTCATCTCCCCGGTTCCCGTTCCTCGTCCCGGGCTCCCAAGAGTAGTGATGCGCGTTGAAGTCACCCGCGATCAAAGCTCGCTCCGGGGGTTTGAGTTCTAGCAGTATCCCTGTTGTGCGGCTGTGGGGGTCGCGGGGTTGTCTGTACACGTTGACGATAGTCGTCGTTTTGTCGACCACCAGCCACAGTACGTCTCTCGTGTGGACAGGCCTCTGCTGCTCCACCGTCATCCCTATCCCTTTGCGTGTGTAGGTCAATACTCTTGGTCTGGTTCCTTCGCTGTCCCAGAAGTCGACCGGGACGAAAGAGTCGAAACCCGGGTGCGTGTTCAGTTGCACGTTTCCGTCCTTCCAGCCCGTCCAGGGTTCCTGGACGAGGACCACATCTATCTGAGCCTCCCAGCAGAGCTGCAGGAAAGCCGTGTGCGCCGGGGAGATCTTTCCGACGTTGCCCTGCGCAACGCGTAGCATCCGTGGGGTCGCCGCTCTCGGCTTACGTCTCCGAGTCGAGTTCGAGGTGGGTGTAGGCATTCGCGACGTTGTAGTTTGGCTTCTGTGCTGCCCGTTGGCTCCTGCTTGGCATGGGTAGCACGGGACGGTCGATGGAGGTGTTGTCGGGGGAGTCTTCGCCTTCGCCTTCGTCCGCCTCGTCTTCATCCATGCTGCTGCTGTCAGTGCTTCCGTCACCGAGGCAAACGATCGAGCTTGCGGAGGGCGTTCTCGTGCGCGCGCGCTTGGCGCCGGGTTGCTGGTTCTGGCTGGTGGAGGTAGGGACGCCTGCCGCCTCCTGGCTACTGTCGGATCGAGTAGCCTTGTACAGAGTGTCCGATGCTTTCTGGCCGGCCTTCCGGATCCGAGCCCGCTCCTTTCGACCGGGAAGGGAGACGACGCCGTTTACGGCCGAGGGCCTCGCTGGGCAGTCTGTGTGGCTGGCTTGGAAGGGGCCGCAGCAGTTGGCACATTGGGGCCTGGCCATGCAGGGTCCCGTTTCGTGTGAATCGGAAGGTCTTCCGCAGTTGCTGCAGATCGGTCGTCGTCCGCAGAACCGGTTGGAGTGGTAGCCCTGGCAGCCGGGGTCGTGTCGGATGAGCGTCCTTCGTTTCTTGACGGGCAGAGATCTGCCGCTTTGGTTGAAGAGCCTGAAGGGCGTGACCTCTGATGTGAATGATATGAGCCAAGATATTTCGTTCGTGACTGGGTTGGGCCCAAGGCGGGACGGTCGAGCAAGGACAGGCTTCTGTCCTGTCTGTGCGAAGACCTCATCTTCAACGAGTGTGGCTGGGTCCAGGACGTCCCCGCCAATGCTGTGTAGTTTTGTTGGGCATCGCGGCACAACGTAAGTGTACCACTTGATAGGCGTCTCGACCTGGTGGGCGCCGAGGCATTCCGCCAGCTTTGCCTTACTTGCAAGTAGTCTTTCCTGTATTTGCTTGTTTCGCGGCTTCAGAGAGTAACCTGTGCTGATATGGTAGACGTGGGGAAGGTCCGCTAGCCCCAGGCCAACGGCCTTACAGACGATCTGTCGTACGGCGAACGGTGCGATCTTCCGAGCGGCCGCTAAGCTTTCTTCCGGGACGCGGGCAAAGATGCGGAGGTCCTCCTTCGGCTGCGCCTGCGGCTGATCCTCGGCGGGGAGTGTGGCCTTCGGGCGGGCAGAGCTCTGGCAGCTCTGGCCGCTCCGGGTCGCCGCAGTGGTGTTGCCCGCCATCGGTGCGACGACAGCCGCCCAACTCCGGGCCGCTATTGGGCTTGTCTCGTGATTGATCAGTCTCTTGAGGGTTTGAATGACATAGGCAGTGGCTTCTTTCGCGATCTGCTTTCTAGAACCGTCAAAGCTGGCGACAACGCTGTCGACGGACCGTGCAATGGTCAGAAAGACGTCTTTCCGTGCCTCGTACTGTCTAGCTTCTTCTGCAAGGGCTGTCAAGACGGACCCTGTGGCAGATCCGCTCGGAGCAGATGCGGTAGAGGCTGCGGGCCCCTCGGCCGAGGTAGGGGCGTCGGTGGTGGCATCAAGCTGGCTTCCCGTTAGGCTGGGCCGGGTCGGCTGTGCCTCGGCGTCGCGGCGTCGCTTAGCTCTTGAGGTGGGGTTCGGCTCCGGAGGTGTCCCGGAGCCTGGTTCGGGGTCGGCTTGGTCGGCCGACATCAGTCCGGTGCCCGACGGCGGCTGTGAGGCCATCGCGGATGCGGGCTCCGGCAAGGGGAGGTGAAGAGTTTTCGGCTGTTAGTAATTTGGTGGTAGGCTCACTCATTCACTAACAGCAGATGCCAAGAAAAATTAGGCGAGAGGGAAGTTGCGATACCTTTGGGAGGGTGCCAGGGCTCCGTGAAGTAGACAAGGGATCGTTCCCTGTTCCGAGGCCTGGCATAGGGCCGTCCTTCAGGCCACACCAGTGACTCGTCGGCGGCGTATCCGTAGGAGCCATGTCGTGATCACCGCTGTGAACGCGATCAGGCGGGCGAATTTCGAAAACATCCCAAACTTGACGCATCTCACCTCCGGCCATTCATTGAGTAGTCCTTGACCTAGCAAGGTCTCTGAGAGCTCCTTGCAGCATCTTCCTTTGTTGTGTGAGGGCCCCTCAGACCTGAACCGTCCCAAGAGGGCCTCCATAAGTGGCCGGTCACATACATAGTCCAGGCCTGTACCGGCTGTTGACCAGTCGCGGGACATCCGGTGATTTAAAAAGCAAGTTGCTCAGCCTGACCGGCGAAAAAGGTGGCCAGTCGACGTAGGCATAAAGCCCAGCAGGCAGTGTTCCCAGACTGTACCTTGCTCCAAAAGACCATAAGAGGCCGCTCTAAACTCCACCAGATGACTCAACGAAAGCGATTGATCCGCAAGACTCGACAAAAACGATCTGCGCGCCGAGCTGGCAAGACCGTGAGTTGCCTTGTCAGCCCTGACTCTGCAATAAATTCGAAGGCTAGAAAGCCTGGATCCGCATCTGGGTAGCCAGTCATCTGTCCGTCGACCCGCCCTACCATTTGGTAGCTGCGCCGTCCATAACGGAACTGCACCAACCAACCCCTCCGTAACTGATCAATGAACCGAGTCAACTCATCGACATGGAACCTCGAGTGAAAGTCAAGCCCGATCTTTCCACGCTGGTAGGGCAGTCATGCAATCAGGTACGCTCCAAGCCGCCCATTGTCTGGTCGTTACCGTAGGAGGAGGTCCAACTTGAGTTTCTACAGGGCTGTATTTTTCTCATGTCGAGCGTCAATGTCAGTTCGACCCATGTAAGGCTGTTAATCCTCACTGCCAATCGAGCCCGGGCGGTGACACAGAAGCGGCGCTGAAACAGGAAGTCGAGCGAAAGGAACCGAGAATGCCTTCTACAAGGGCTTGCTCGGTTCGATCTGTACCGCCAACGACCAGGAAGCAGAGGAGATGTTGAAGCAATTTCGGGAACCAGGTAATCCCCTCGAACTCATTGGATCCAGCTCGACGCGGATTGCCACCAAGAATCATCTAGAGAAGATAAACGAATCCACGCTATCATTCGCGAGGACGAGAAGATAAATTGGCTCAAATCAACAGCCTGCCTCACCGTAACAAGAGGCGTCAGTTTGACTGGAAGGTTCGACAAAAGTCACAGCTCAGTTGGCGCCACGTCCGCGGGCAGCAGGCAAGCTGTGGGCAATATGACTATTGGGGATGTCACCCGAACCCTCAAGCATCTCTGCACGGGTTCTGTATACCTAGGAAGGATAGGCTTGAGCACCGGGTCAACCGTCCTTGAGCTGCGTTGGTCTCGGCCTCATGGGACTTGCAGGTCACTTCGCGAATCAATAAGATCAGCTCAGGAACACCGTGCAGCCCCTTCCTGTGTTCTTCTTTCGTCATTGATGTCTTTCACAAATATGATGGTCTCTTCTCGGGTGAAATAATCCAGGCATGATTCCGGCTTGCCTCGAGGAGCCTACCTTGACGAATGTTTAGTCCAAAGTTACGGTGTTCTCGAAGAGGAGCAGACAATTGGTAACAAAATGAGTTAGCAGCTTGCAGAGTTGAACGAGCTTCCTTGTAGCATCTCATCTACCTTTCCGAACATCAAATCAGATCAACATCACGTTCCGATATTCACAGGTTCTTCATCGTTGTTCACAGACTGCCAAGTTGGATTACAATGGAAGTTCTCCTGCCAAGATCTTGGTCATGAGTGCGACGCTGCGGGCTTCCACATTCACGCCCATCCACGACAACGCTGTAGAGTATGGCATGGCGGATAGAGGGAAGCTTGCGGCTCAGTTCATCTCTCTACACAGGCTCCGGATGAAGGCATAGTACGGCCTGCTGAAACCAAGGCCAGTAAACGTCCTCGATCCAGGATATCAGAAACTGGAGCACACAGACAATCTGATACACCCCCAGCGGTTCACTTGTCGAGCCAATCATCTGATTCGACCACAACGTCTATCGTCTCATGTGTCAGCATATTGCTCGCAAAAATGCATCGGGGAAGGGAGGGTGTGTGGCCGGAACGTCATCCTGCCATGCCATGACTTACCACTTCATCTCCATCTCTCGTACTCGCTACGAATAACCAGTCGTTTCCTTGGACAATGATGCCAGGAAGGAACTCGATCAGTGGCATCCGCGGAACGGTGCCGGCCATGAGACGATCTAGCATGCGCCATTGGCTCGCATGCCAGGTCAGGAGCTGGGCCTCAGCGACCGATAGGCCTTCACCCTGAAGCTTCGTCTCGATACTAAGGCCAATCGGACGTGTTTTCAGGGCGCCGTACTCTGTGTGGTTGATAGACGGCGTCTCGGTCAGCACCAATCTATTGATGGCTTGGGCGGCGGCACCAGTGGGTTCGATGCAGAGGCAGAAATCGACTTTCCGGAATGCGCTTGTCTGAACAAGGTCCGGAAGGGTGTTTGCACTCGTGCTAAAACAACAACGCAAACAGATGTCAGGATTACTCCAGAAATATTAGATAGGACGACGACAAGCAGCAAGTACACACCACGGAATCATGTAGACAAGTTTGCCTGTCGCTTGGTAAAACTCCGGTACCGCCAGATTGATGACGTGGTGATGAAGACTGGTGTTCCAGCCCGCCTCGTCGAACTCATAGTCACGACACATCTTGGCTCTGGACACCATCTCCGTCACCTGCTGTGTCGTGGGAGTCGGTCCCAGAACGCGTCGGGACAAGCCATCGGTTGTGTTGACGGAGGCGTCGTCGAAGTAGAGCGAATATCTGATCTCTTCCATATCGGGACAAATCTTTTTCGCCTCGTCTATATTCTCCTAAATGCCCGGCGGAGGGTTAGCCTGTGTGCTTCAGGCGGGGTGGAAGAGCAAGGTCGATCAGGACCGAAAGTCCCGCAGGGTTCCATTACCTTTTCCAAGAAATCGATTACGCCCACTCCCCGGGAGTACTCTCTTATTCGTTTCCATATCTCGCGCAACGACGAGGGAGCGTTGGCGCTCATGTCGAAATGTCTTACCCTATGCGGGTTTCGATCTGTTCTCCTACGTCTCTTCGTCGGCGATCTAGACCCCGTGGAGCTACCCGACAGCTGGCTACTGGCATCGCTAAGCACCGGCATTCTCTGTGGGAGACTCGCCCTTGGTGTTGCTTCCAGGCTGGTGGCGGAAGCGTGGCCATCTGACGAGGTTGAGATGCTATGGGATTCGTCACCCAGTTGCGACCGTTTGAGTGGGGATGATGGTGCCATGTTTACGGAATCGGGCGGCGTAAGAATTCGGTGACGTTTCCTCGTCCTATTTTGCAGGGCCGGCGGACCAGCTTCGAAGTCGGTTGTGGAAGGCTCGTCGATGTTGTAGGGGAGGGAGCTGAGCCAATTCCTGACAAACCTGGTGGGAGTGTCGTCGAGGTTTGGGATGGGGGGCGCTCATCGGAAATGATGGGAAGCGATGAATACA